GGTGAAAAATAAAATAAAATTCGTATGTTTGTTATTTTCATGAATTTTTGTTCCAGGAGTTTAAACTTATTTTGGCTTTTAGTTTGTGTCTCACATGACTATTTCTTAATTTAGCTGTTAGCTAATACATTTCTATCCATTTAAAATATGGACGAATTTAATATTTTATTCATTTTATTTTGCTGATCCAACCCATCCAAATTGCCATTCCTAGTGATAAGTGCATATATATTAAGGAGAATCATGTCTGAATGGATAATATATAGTTGTGGCTCGATAAAGGAATATATGAATAATAACATTACATTGCTGGAGTCTGAAATAAGAACAATCCGTCGGTCGTTGAAAAATCACGTTGTATATATATGTGTCAAATTCTAAATTTAAATGATATATATTTAAAGTTTGACACCCTTAACAAAAGTAATGCATTTTGCACAGTAATAATGGTGTCCATTTGAATGAAGGAATTTCAAGATCGAACCCGAAATAGAACAATATTTTTTTACACACCATTATTGTTGAATGCCCCTTAATTAAATTTTTTGTTTGTTAATCATTAAAACTCACATAGCTCAACATAATTTATATCATCCTATTTTTTAAAACTAGCCCGTTAGATTACGCGTTGATATGTGCTAGCTTCTTGGTGCAACCTGATTATTGTACACGATGTTACTGTGATGCAATTTTAGATACAATAGGCCAAGAATATATATATATATATATATATATAGTTTTTCTTTGATTATTGTCGTTTCTCTTTGTCATGTTAGCATGGAAAGGATTCTTGAAAGGTATGAAAGGTACTCATATGCTGAAAGGCAGCTTAATGCTACTGATATTGAAACCCCGGTATGCCTGCCTACGTCTTTGTTAAATCTCATTTTAATTTATAAATATTAATAGATCTAGGACTAATTTTGGATTATTTTATTTTTAAATACTTTTTGCAGGGGAGCTGGACTTTGGAACATGCTAAGCTTAAGGCCAGACTTGAGGTTTTGCAAAGAAACCAAAAGTAGGTATTTTCCTACTCAATTAATATAAAAATGATCCCTCGTTCCTACTGACCGATCGACGTATATATATACAGGCATTATGCAGGAGAAGAGTTGGACACATTGAGTATGAAAGAGCTTCAGAATCTGGAACACCAGCTCGATTCTGCTCTTAAGCACATTCGATCAAGAAAGGTACAATCATGTACATGTGCAATTTCTTTAAGAAAACATTTTGAACTCAAGACCTTTTTTTCTTGTAGAACCAATTGATGCATGAATCCATTTCTGAGCTGCAAAAGAAGGTATGAAGCTTATCCTTAATTATATCATATAGAGCTTTTTCCTATCCATTCCATATATATAAACTTGCCTTGTACTTGTGTCAGAAGATTGTTCATATAATCTAGTAGATAATAACAATTTTTGTACAAGAAAAAGCAGGGAAAATTTTGTTGCTTCTAGCTACCTATAGCTTTATTTTTACATGACACAGGACAAGGCATTACAAGAACAAAATAACAATCTTTCAAAGCAGGTAATTAATAATTAATTTTCGTGTAAAATGTTTAGATTTCACTCAACAATTCGCGATGCTTTTAACAAGTTTGGAGATATTGGTTGAACAGGTGAAGGAAAGGGAGAAAGAGATGGCCCAACAGACTTCGTGGGAGCAACAGAGTCATGATCATCTCAATTCATCTTCGTTTGTTTTGCCACACCCCTTTAACAACCTTCACATGGGGTATTTTCTTTGTCCCCCATCCAATTTTATAAATATTACTTTCCGTTGTACTTTCATGTTATTCATACCCTTTATCATTAGCTATTTGATTTTACGCGAAAAAATTGCAGGGAAGCATACCCAACTGCAGGAGACAATGGAGAAGTTGAAGGATCATCGCGGCAGCAACAACAAAACAGTACTTCTGTGATGCCTCCATGGATGCTTCGCCATCTCAACGGTTGAATTAAAACTTATTTAAGTATAAACCAAGCAGACAATATTATGCTATGTTATGTTACCTATTAATCAGATATAGTATATGTACATATATTATATATATGTATGTTACATATTAGACAAACACAACTTTCATATCTAGTTAATTGTGTATTGTGTATATATAGCTGTTGTGTAACAATATCCAGAATATATTGTAGTAGTACTATATATCATCCTTGGATATTTTGTCTTAAACATTTTACCACTAGTAGTCTAGTACTACTTCCTCTCTCCCAATTTATGTGGCACTTTTCGTTTTTCTAGAGTCAAACAATTTAAGTTTGATCGGGAATTTGCATATGAAATCTTCAATTTTTTTGAAATGAAATTTATATATTTGTAAACTACGTAAAAAGTACTATAAGTCACAACAATTGATAATTCAAAATGTTTAAAAGATCTATGAAAAATTTACGGTCAAAGTTAGACTTGTTTGAATCTCGAAATCCAAAAAGTGCCACACAAAATGGGACGGAGGGAGTAATATTTATTGCTCATATTACTTCTTTTGGTTTTCCACCTGGTGTCTTGGAATCCACATTAGAGCCCTGCTAAATTTGAATCGATCACTGCAGGGCCTATTCTTCATACCCAGAGTTTGAACCCACGACCTCTAGTTAAGGGTGACGAGAATGAGGATTTCATTTTTTAATCTAAATAGTACTATATGTCAATTAGATTCTTACATATATATGTTTATATGCTATATAATATTCTGATTATTAATTTTCCTTGTCTTCATCAATATACATTTCATGCCAGATTGCTTCTCAATAATTGGATTAGATTTTCGACAACCATATATATGAAAGTGCTAAATGGCCAGAAAATTTGGTCAGAATTTGGCCAGAAAATTAAAAAAACTATAAGATTTTTTTAATTTTAAAACAAACTGATCTTTTTTCCATTTTTTAGTTAAAAAGTATTAAAGTTAAAAAGGTAAAAATGTTTTAAAAAGTAAAATAACATAGATAAAATATCATTCTGGCCAAAAATATTTTTCCATATATTTTGTATATCTTTTTGGCCAGAAAATTTGGCCAAAAAACATAATAATTCCAGTATTCCAATTAGGCTTTTGTTTTTATATTGGATTTCTGGGGTCATTAATAGGAGGGATATATTCATTTTAGCCATGAAAGGCGCAAGAATTTTCATGCTTCCAGAATATTTACTAATCAAAATATTGACTATATATTAAGTGATTGTCATAATGACATTGACTCCTACAACAGTATTTTGTCCAAAATTGTCCGTGGCCAATCATGTATATTCTAGTCCTAATTAATCCACTTACACTTCTTGAATCTCTCCCATTTGTTTCCAATATGAAAAATTGACTCCATCAGTGGAGAAAAGTTGATTATTCATGAAAATGAAATTTATGTTTTGTATATTGTTAGTGTAATTAATTTATCTGCAATAGGACAAAACATTCTAATTATATTAAGTTTGAAGTTTTTTATATTGTTGGTGTATGTAATTTTTTACACTATCAAGTCATTCAAAAGATATTTACATATATATAATGTTGAAGTGTGTAACCATCTCATCTAAAAGTTTAAGCTGTTGCAGACCTGATTCTTTTTCATGGTCAAGCACATGGAAATTCTTTTTAATTTTGGGTGACGGTGAGATTCAATCTCAGGACCTTTGCCTGCTCTGATATCATGTTGAAGTGTGAGCTTTTAGATGAGATGGTCACACACTTCAATATATAAGATGTAAAATCTTAAAAATATGATATGTTATTTCTACTCAAATCAAGATTTGAATATAGTATTCCTACTAGCTATTCTCTTTCAATATATTGTATTTTTCAACTTCGAATATTAGAACATTCCACTACCCAAATTTTACAATTTTCTTTAAAAATGAGTGGGTGGGGGTTGGGGCATTTAGGTATTTGACACAAACAAGACAATCAAATGAGAAATGCATGCAAGTCCATATTGAAATAGTAGTATATAATGGAATTTTGCCAAACTGTAAGAACCATTTTTCTCCTAATCCAAACAAAAAACACAATCAATTTAGGTTTATGTGGTCGGGTAGATGATAGAGTTAAAAGTTGACATTGTTGGAACTAAGACTAAAGTTTCTTGGAAAAAGAGAATGAACACTATTTAATACTCCTAAACTACAGCTTGCAAATAAAGTTGACTATTTTTTTTGTGTGTCATAAATTCAACAAATTGATCAAGTTATCTTTATACGTGGGGCTCTACCAAATTCCATAGGAGTATATGTGGCATCAGATTTGAACTTAAAAATATATTTTTTTTATAACTATGTTTAATTATGTTCCTAATCAGCATCCACGGATTTGTATACATAATATACAATAGAGAAAAAAAATAATGAATTGTAATCTTGTGATTCAAACCACAAATCTTGCCCACGTTTAGAGCATTAAAAAAAGCTTCAAACAAACTGCCCCGCACGTTACAAAAAATCCGAACACCATTAAATTCAATAATTTGAAAAAAAATATTAACCTAATCGGGTCACACAAACATTATAGTAACTTGCTTAGTAATATAGTGACATTTTCATTACAGAAACTCGTGTTATCATTCCTAGACTATCAATGACGTAGCCACATATAGTGAAGGATGGTCAGTTGAACACCCTTTGTTAAAAAAAAGAAAATTGTATGAAGTGCTAGTTAACAAAAAATGTTAGGTCTCCACTTTCATATTTTTGGCTAACAAAAATGTTAACTTAAATCATTGACATTTAATTCAACAAACTAGTCAGTATGGGTCTACAAAAACTTCATGCTAAGCACGTCAAAACACCAAGAACGTAAACCCACTTTAGAAAATCCAAGACTGAAGAAAATGATTTAGCATGACATTTGAGTCACTACATATATAAGTTCACACCCTTTTCTCCCTCCCATTCTTTCTAACATATAAGATTAAAGTTAGTACTCTTTCAATAAAAACACCACTAATTACCAATCCATTTGTGGAACAAAATTATCAAACATGATGCGTGTCCGTGTTAAATTACCAGGATTTTGTATGAATCGAACTGCAGTTCATGTTCGAGCGCGTAATTCGCCTTCTCAGCTGTACAAGAAGGCGATTGGTTTGATCAAATCCGATGACAACAAGTCTGAATTTTCAAGCAAAAACAGCATTGAGATGAATTACAACATCGATGAATCGAAGACAGATTCTGAAAATGGGATTAATAATAGAGTCATGGTTATGGTTGACACTAGTCTTGAAGCCAAAAGTGCTCTGCAATGGGCACTTACACATACTGTTCAAAGCCATGATACCATTATTCTTCTCTCCGTAATCAAGCCCACTCAACGAGGTAAAACTTTTACTCCCTCCGTCTGACATTTTTAAGATCATAAGATTTAAACGTCTTTCTTTTTAAAAAGTCATGTTTAATCAAATTAAGACACATGAAATGAAACAGGGGTAATTAGTCCTCATAACTAATGTCCTGTTTTTGTTACTTGTGTAGGTGAAAATGAGAACAGTGAAACTAATCAGAGAGCCTATGAACTTCTTTACTCCATGAAAACTATGTGCCAAACAAAGAGACCAGAGGTAAGTTCTGAAATTGCTCTGCATTTGAATTTGATTGATTGGTCAATGAAGCTACTAGTATATAACTATTTTTTTCCCGTCTGGTGTCTGGTACCCACATTGGAGTTTGACTAAATTCGGATTTGCGTTGAGAAATCCCACATTAGGGGTAAAACGCTCCTTAACACAGGCAACTCCATATATAGGGAGACTCGTACTCAAGACTTTTGGTTAAGAATGAAGGAGTACTTACTACTCCACCACGATCCTTTAGTACAAAACTATTGTTTTCACCTAATAATGTTGTAGCAAGTCCAAATGGCCAAGTTAGATAATGGAATGGGAGAAAAGTTAGATACAGAGTATAGTGTCAGGCAAAATATTGTCCGTACCAAATCACATGGAAAGTTACCAATAAATATAATTAAAAAAGTGCTGTCGAGTATTTCTGGTTGGCATAATTAAGCCAATTAGTAGGTAAAATAATCTTCTTCTCTAGGCAACACTGCAACATGACAAGTAAATTAAACAACTCCTACTTTTTTGGCTTCATGCTAGCATGTGTTTACTTGCTGCTAAGCAATTTGTCTCATTGTTTAGTTATTTAATCATTTTTTTGAGTGTGTGAGAGAGAGAACTGTCATGAACAAAATGCATTTGATTTCAATATGGATGTTAATTAAAAGCGAATTCAAAATTTAAAGTCAATAAGAGAAGTCTTGGGTAACATCAATATTATGTCTATGGCAAGACCCACGAGGGGGCTAAGGTGGCCCTAATCGGAGTCATGATCAATATACACCTCCTTGGTGGACTTATAGTTAAGAAATAAAATTGGCTTTTGATATGATGATAAACGCTTAGTCATGCAAGAGTCAATGTCATGGATTTGATTCGCAAGCATGAGGTAGGTGTTGGGAGGAGGATTCTTGGGTAACACCAATATCTTGCCTATGGCAAGGCCCAGAAGAGGCTAGAGTAGCTCGGATTGGAGTCATGATCGAACATGACGCTTACTAGGGTGTATTTTCACAGGCAAAGAGATGCTCTTCTTGCGGCCCAAGAGTGTATTCATTGGAAAAACTGTTAATTGTGATGATTTGTGTGTTAACAGGTGCAAGTGGAGATTGCAGTGGAAGAAGGGAAAGAAAAAGGCCCTGCAATTGTAGAAGCAGCCAAGCAGAGAAAAGTATCATTACTGGTATTGGGACAAAGAAAAAGATCAATAATGTGGCGTTTACGCAGGATATGGTCAGGGAAAAAGTCGAAAAACAGAGTTGTGGAACACTGTATTCAAAATGCAAAATGCTTGACAATTGCAGTAAGAAGGAAGAGCAGGAAGTATGGAGGATATCTCATTACTACTAAACGTCACAAGGATTTTTGGCTCTTAGCTTAATCATATTGTTTTTATCATTCACTGTTCAGATTTATAAAATTTGGTTTTCTTAATTTCTGCTGTAATCTGCACGAAACGAGTAGCTACTTCCTCCATTAGGAAATGAATTGTACAAATTAAAACACAAAAATGAGAGGACTTGAATTTCGTTGGACATGAATGTTGTATGTTGTGCTAAATCAATCCAAATATATTCTTAACATGAGGTCATATGCACAGTTTTCCTCAAAAGATCTCACATCGTTAAGAGATGTAGACCTTATTTGTAGCTTCTCAATTTTGACTTTGTTCCCACATTGATCATAGAAATAGTCAAATTGTAACGAGCCTAGCTAGTACTATTATAATGTGATTTGGTCCGGAATATGAATCTTTTTTCTTAAATGATAGAATGAGTTAAACCTCAACCAACTCTAGTACTCTTTTGGATGTAATATTTAGGTACATGTCCAAGTCAAATTGCTATTTGCTATCAAAATTCAAAACAACAAAATGAATGTACATTTACCTAAGTTGACCATTGTAGCTATATATATATATATATATGAACCTACTATTAGCTAGTCTAGCCTATGAAATACTCTAATTACATATGTCTTTTTTAATTCTCTAATTACATATGTTAGCTTCAACGAATGAGAGTTTTTTGGTGAAAAGATGATTAAACTTAAACAATCCGAGAAAATGATGCAATTGAACGGAAGATGTATTATTCAAATAGGTAAGTAAGAACAAATACAACACATTAGGTGCTAAATAATTAGGAAAGAAAATAAAGGACGATTTCTACAATGGATCTGACTAGACTTAGAATGACATGCATCTCAAATCATCCATGTGTTGGGTCTAATACACATAGTATTCACTCTATCCTAATATACACCAATGCATTTGACTAGACATAAAACTTATGATAATTTGTTTTTTTTTGAGTTTAAAGTCTAAAAACACACCATATAAAAGTTTAAAATTAAATTATTAAATGTCATTTTTTTGGACCGACGAAACAAAAGAGTCACGCTTGGACAGAGTGAGTAACAATATTTCCATTGGGAACAATATCATTCAATTTTTACACAATCTTCATAAAAATCTTAATTTTGAAGTGATATTTGTTTCTTTTCAATTTGTTATATCAGTTGACAAAAGTCTCTGAACTCACTTCACAAGAATGATGGTGGAGACACGTTTGTTGTAAAGGTTTTCACTATAAACACAGCGGCACATGCTGCCCCTGCGCTCCTTTATTAGATTTGTTCAATTGCCTCCTACATGAGCAAAAAATAGATCCTCCCCCATCTCCTTATTTCCCCCCTAAAAAAGGCATCTCCTCTTCACACAATCTTCTATGCTATACTCTTTAAGCTGCTTGAATCTCATTGAGGTTTGATAACAAGGCCGTTTTTAACGTTTTGGCCAAGACCATTTTGCCATCCGTCATTGTTTAAGCTCATTCTGCATTCCATCGTCTTGATTGATTGAATCTGACCAATGGGTTTGTTGCAATATTCGTGATTCTTGATTGAAATAAAGGGACGGGTTTTCTTTCAATTCTTGATTTGGGGGTCTCAGATTTGGGTTTTTTTGTGTGTGTGGATTCAATCTCGGGGATAGGCTGTTCTCATTTCTTGTTTTGGCGGTGAATTGGGGAAGATAAAGGTATAAGATGCGGCGGCGGGCGGCCGATTATCGGCGCCCGGTTCGAAGGAGGCTATCTTGTTGGATCTGGTCGCTTCTTGGAATATTCTCAATTGTAGGTTTCGTTTTGTTTGTAGTTCATCATCATCATGACCACGAGGATCACGTAGAACAACCTGTTTCGGTAAGCCTCCAAATCCAGACCCAGATCATTCATTGCTTTTCGTGAATTTTATTGCTTTCTGAATCATACTAGTTCAAGCTTTATGAGCTTGCTTTTTTGATAAAGTAGAAATCCTCCTTGTTCATTTTCAATTCCTGGGGGTTTCTGATCTGAGAATCTGCTATCTTTTATACTACTGGTGTGAGGATTACTTTTGTAGTTTTTCATTGATTGATTTTTGTTACTATCTGTTATTTCTTCTACTTTGATTATAGTTTTATCTTGTTGTAGATACTGTTCAACATGCCTTGTTATACTTTCACATAAATTACTTCTTTTCTTGGATTGCTTTGATTTGTTTTCCTTGAATGGACTGTCTATCAGAGAGGGACTCCAATTTGTGGGACTACACTGAGTATCTTGTTGTTGTTGTATGTTTGTTTCACGAATTGTTTTAGGTTTTTGACAATACTGGTTGGTAGTTTTCTAGTAGGATGGTAAATCTGCACTTAGTTTTCAATGCATTAACATCAATTCATTCATGTTTTGGTTCTTGTAAGTGATACTTGTCACTTAAAAGCTCAAGTGTGGTGACTTTCTCTTAACTTCAGCTCTTATAATGCAAATTTGTGTTGCCCATTTTTCTTTCAGTTTGTAGCTCATGTACCCTAAGCTAGAATGTGGAACATGTGGATCGCTTCTATATTGTTCCAGATCTATTAGATGTGCCTGTGGGGGACTGAACGTTCTGTTTTCTAAATATTGTTGTCAATAATTTACTTGTTGTCTCTTCTGATCTTTGTGGCTGTCGGTGTGCTTGTGTCCCTGGTGACTTTAATCTTTTTGATTGTGCTAATTATTTTGAGGAAATGGTGGTATTAGATCCTGTGCACTTAACTACCACTGCTGCTGTGCATTATACACAGCTCATCCTCTCTTTTTTTATGACAAGGGAAACCCACAATCGCTACCCTTTGGGTATGCACAGGGTAAAATCCGGCTCCTATGCAATAGCTCGCAAACCACACACGGGAGATAATCCGCACTAGGGAAGCCCGGTGCAACGAGCTCAACCCAGAAAGCAAATCTCTTGCTTTCGCTAGCATCGAACTGAGACGTCCAACATGGAAGTCCCAAGCCCAAACCACTGGGCCACCCCGAAGGGTAGCTCATCCTTACATCTATCTATACCTAGTTTTGCTTCCTGTTTTCTACCATTCCTTTCTCCCTTCCGCTAGAATGGCAACAATCCACCTCCAACTTATTTCCCATCACTACAGCAATTGGTCCCTGCTCCCAACATAGTCACAGTTTTGTCTTCTTAGTTTCCATCTATTTTCTTTTTTCTTTTTCTGAACACCCACTTCCTGAAACAAGCATTTAATCGACATCCACTTCAACTTCTACCTTGACCGTCACATGGAAAGAATATATATGGCTGACATGCTTGCTATGACAGTCTATCTGATAAAACCAACACAAAAGTATTGACGCAAGAAGTGTTATAGATTTATAATTCAATATAGATTTTTGGGTGTGACTTGTTTAGATTACTTGACCTAAATTGTAGTCCCATTTTTCATTTGGTGCACTTCATTAAGGAAAAGTTTCTACACAGGGAAGCCATATCTTGGCTTTTCCATTTTTGAGGAATAAACGTGGGAAAAATGTGTCTACAGAAAAGTAAATGGGTTCCACGAGAGGGCATATACAGTGCATTAAAATTATTTTTTAAGTAAATCAACACCACTTCTGATTAACTTAGGATGAAAAATTGAAAATAGGACCTGTTTGGGGTCAGAGGAAGTAAATAAAGTGTTAACCCCATTCAGTAATTCGATGGTCTCTCATTACTACCTCACCCTTTGCCAGACATCATTATAAAATGTCACCCATGTTCCTAATACTTAGCTTTGTAAGTGATAAAGCTAGATTAATCTTTCCACTTCACTCCACTTGCTACTTTCTAGCCCTTTTCACCTATTGCTGTTTTTAATTCTTTTCGATAATTTCTCAAGACAAATGTTAAATGTCCGTTTGTTAGCAATTTTAGTTCTTTTAATGTTAAAATATGCAGAAGCATAGAATGTGCCATGAGTCCTTGTAGTTGGCACATCTGTTTGAGTTGACAGGTCTTCTAAGTCTTGTATAGAGAATCTTTCCAGGAATAACAATATCCATGTAATTCATTACGTGGTTTAAGAGCAAGGACTTAACAATTGGTAAAAGTAACTCAAACTATTTTAAGGTCTTTTTGAAGTTGCATTCTATAAACATAAAAGAACTGCAATTATGGATTAGTTTGTTAACTGTGTAATTGTTGACTAACACCTTTTTACGCGATGCGTCTAATGAGAATTGCGATGTCATTTACCTATACTTTTGTATGGTTTGTTGTATTCACCAATGTACGATTATACAGATAGAGATCCAAGTTCAAAAAAATGATTATACAGATAGAGTTAACCTTCACTGGATGGATTGGCTGAGTTCCATCTTATTTTATTTTAACTATAAAGTACTTTGATAATCACAACTGGCTTAATATTTTTCGTTGTTCCAGGAAAGAGAGTCTAGGAATGAGCAGGTTGTGCATGAGCGTATGAATCTCACACAAGAGATGTTAAGTGTTAATTCATATGCCAGACAAATAGCAGAGCAAACAACACTAGCCAAAGCTTACATCATTATAGCAAAAGAGCACAACAATCTTCATCTTGCATGGGAGCTGAGTACAAAGATAAGAAGTTGTCAACTTTTACTCTCAAAAGCTGCAATGAGAGATGAGCCCATTTCTCTAGATGAAGCTGAGCCAAACATAAGAAGTCTATCTTCTCTCATCCTTAAGGCACAGGATGCCCATTACGATATTGCTACCACTATGATGACAATGAAATCACATATTCAAGCTCTTGAAGAGCGTGCCAATGCTGCATCTGTTCAAAGTATGATGTTCGGACAGTTAACAGCTGAGTCTCTGCCAAAGAACCTGCACTGCCTAGAAATGAAGCTCATGGCTGATTGGCTTACAAAAAAGTCATTGCAGGATTTTGCTGATGAGAGGAGAAACTCACCTCGTTTAGTAGACAATAACCTGTATCACTTCTGCATATTTTCAGATAATCTGTTGGCAGTTTCAGTAGTTATCAACTCAACTGTGGCCAATGCTGATCACCCTAAGCAGCTAGTTTTCCATATCGTAACGGATTCAATACACTATGGAGTGATGCTGGCTTGGTTCCTGAACAATGACTTCAAAGGTTCTACAGTAGAAGTACAGAATATTGACAACTTCACTTGGTTGAATTCATCTTATTCTCCTGCTGTAAAGCAGCTAATGTCCACAGATTCCAGGAAGTATTATTTTGACGGATCTCAAGATACGGGTGTCGAGCCAAAGTTCCGGAATCCAAAATATATATATTTGTTGAATCACCTTCGGTTTTACATCCCTGAGATTTACCCCCAGTTGGAGAAGATTGTTTTCCTTGATGATGATGTTGTAGTTCAGAAGGATCTGACACCTCTCTTTTCACTGGATTTGCATGGAAATGTGAATGGAGCAGTAGAAACTTGTCTTGAAGCTTTTCATCGTTATTACAAGTATCTCAATTTTTCAAATCCACTCATCAGCTCTAAGTTTGATCCCCAGGCGTGTGGATGGGCATTTGGTATGAATGTTTTTGATTTGATTGCTTGGAGGAAAGCAAGTGTTACTTCCCGATATCATTATTGGATAGAACAAAATGCTGATAGGACTATTTGGAAGCTAGGAACCCTTCCACCTGGACTATTAGCTTTTTATGGAATGACAGAGCCACTTGATCGGAGGTGGCATGTGTTGGGATTAGGTTATGACGTGAATGTTGACAATCGCCTGATAGAGAGTGCAGCAGTGATTCACTTCAATGGAAACATGAAGCCATGGCTTAAGCTACGCATTAACAGGTATAGGCCTTTGTGGGAACGATATGTAAATCAAACGCACCCACACCTTCAGGATTGTGCTACACATTGAAACACTATACTTTTCCAAGTACGATCACATACTCGATCCCATCATTGTAGAGTTAGAAATAGACAATTTTGCCCTATTAAGGATTCTTCCCTAGTCTTTCTTCTTATCAGTTTAGTAGTGTGAAACTGATATTATACACTGGAACAAGCATGCATTAAGATAAAAGGGTTTAGGGGAATCACTTATGGTTGAGAGGTTTTCTCTGTCTCTACAAATGATAGAACAAATTTTTCTAGTAATAATCTTGTTCCTTTGATCACATCTAGGTTAGATATTTGTCTTTGCTTTTTTGTTGTTCTGTACGCGGATCCAATTATTTTTAGTTGCTGTAACATATAACTACTGCAACATATGTAAGTGATTTATACTGATGATATGATGCATCAGAGCGACTATTATGTTTTTTCGCCTTTGGTACTTCATTGCAAGAAATTGCTTCTCTAGTTGTTTCAGCATGTATTGACGTTTTTCAACAATATATTTACGGTCCTTGATTCATATGTATGTCCATTCATGCCAATACAAACCCAAAACGCTCTTTTAGTGGGAAATGAAATTGTCGTGTTGTTTGATCTACTTTCTTTAGTAGTTTGGTCATATGGCACATTCCAATAATGTTGCAAGACAAATTGATTGGTATGAATCAACTTGTCGTTTTTTAAATAAGAATATTATATTCATCGATTAAAATAATGGACAACCAATCAGAATCTAAAGTATGAAAATAATTGTTATACTATATGTATTGTCGGTGGTAGATTCAGAAATTTTGTATTATGAATGTTCAACTATTTTTAGCTCGGAAATTGGTACATAAAAGGGGTGCTCAATTAATATATTGAGTACTAAATTTTGTATATATTTACCCTATTTGTATATTCACAAGTGAAATATACAAACGGGCAAGCAAAATATACAAATCATTGCCTCCATAGCAAACGAAACTATAGCTATGGAGCGCAATTATCGAAACTATACCTATAGAGCCTTATTATGTTTGCTATTTCTAAAATTTACTCAATTAATATTGCGTGTGATTTACTATTTAGAAACTCACATAACTAATACATGTATATATTACGAGGGAAATTATGTATTATTTATGCAAGATAAAAGATGAAATAACTAATACATAAATAAATATTTTTTGCATAAAATAATACATAGATTATGTTATAATTAATCCTTACATTACTAATACTTGCATAACACTGACTAGTTTAGTGTATAATATATGATATTATATTTGGCAGAACAGCCTATTGCTGTTGTCTTTCCTGTTCTAGTCTAGCCAGATTTTCTACTTTCTACTCCCTTTGCTCCATTAAACTTAATAATGGCAAGTTCATTCTCTACCCCCTTTCTCACAACTGGTGTTACCAAAGAACAAAGCCACAAAAATCAACAAAAATCCCCTGACATAATACTATCTGAGCTACCAAAAGAAAGAGGTTGGCTGAGTGAACATATTCACCAATACAAAGGCTTTTGGTATGCCACAGGAGTTCTTCAAGGTCTGCTAGCACTTCAGCAGCAACATTTCAAGCCAAAACCAAACACTGTCTTACTGGCCAGTTACCCAAAATCTGGCACTACATGGCTTAAGGCCCTTCTTTTTGCTATTAAAAACAGAGCTGAATTAGATTTCAACACACACCCTTTGCTCTCTTCAAATCCACATGAGTTAGTACCACATCTAGAGGTTTATGCATTTAAGCACCCAACAAATCCAACACCAAACACTTGTCTAATGCATTCACATCTTGCTTTCAATTGTTTACCAGAGTTGGCTTACTGCAAGATAGTATACGTCTTTCGCGACCCGAAAGATGTGTTAACTTCTTTCTGGCATTTTATACAGAAATCAAGACCTACAGAACTTCCTTTCATTTCTCTACCTGAAGCATTTGATCAATTCACTAAAGGGTATTCCCCTTTTGGTCCATTTTGGGATCATGTAATGGGATATTATAAAGCCAGTTTAGAATTTCCAAAGAAAGTCTGTTTCTTGAAGTATGAAGAATTGAAGAAAGATCCAATCTTTAATGCAAAGAAATTAGCAGAGTTCTTGGAGCAGCCTTTTTCATTGGAGGAAGAAAGTGAAGGAATTGTGGAGAGAATAACAGAGCTATGCAGCTTTGAGAAACTGAGTAATTTGGAGGTGAATAAACAGGGCACGCACACTGAATTTTTCATTCCTACTATTACTAACAACGTATTTTTCAGGCAAGGGAAAGTGGGTGATTTCAAAAACCATCTTTCAGACGAAATGATTGAGGTTCTTGATGAAATCACAAAGCAAAAATTGGATTTTGATTTGATGAACACATCTGTCACTCCCCTGCAAAATGGTAAAGGGATTGAGTCAGACCAGAATCATAACAACTAGCATGTATTTTCTTCGTGAGGAAATTGAGCCGACGGTCTTTTGGAAACCCTGTCTCTACTCTGGAGAGAGGTACTGAGAAGGTCTGCGTACACACTTTGTAAAATTTCACTGATTATTCTGTTGTTGTTGTTGAGGATATTGTCCAACAAATAAAAATTTCCTTTGATTGTTTTGGTTACACTCTGTAAGTCATGTTGCAAAGTTTGGTTCTTGATTCCAATAAATGTTCCTTTTTGTCATTTGTAATGATTGACAATCCTTTATCTCCTTCCTAGGAGGGGTGGAGCTAGAATATAGATTACAAGTTCGATTAAATAGTAATTTTTGTTCAAATTTTATATTTATCATAAGAAATCTATGAAATATGTATAAATTATTTTGGTCTGATTAAGTAGTTTAGCTCTTATGTTCTGATGGATCATTCTGGTGGAGGAAATGATTTGGGGGAAGCTTTTTAGCTCACGACAACAAGAATATGTTTTATTTAACGATTGTTTTTTTTAACAATATGTTCAGAAACCTTGAAATAGTAAATACAACAGACTAATTAAAATTTGAATATACTTCGTCCTTTTTCATTTTACTTTACTCATATAAAAAAATTTAGATATTTCATACTTGTTCAAAAAAGCAAATCAAAAAAGTTCTACTAGTACTTTTTTACTATTTAGGACCCGTTTGGTAGGAGGTATTAATCAAAATATTCCATGGATTAAAATTTAGTCCAACAAAAATATTGTTTGGTTACTTTATTTAACCTAATCCATGGATTAGTTATACCTCATACAAGGTCTTATTTTATCCCTAGAAAAGGGAGGGATAACTAATCCAAGGTTTAACAATCCTTGTATAAGACCCCTAAATGACTAAACTATCCCCAAATCTTTTTTCCTAATTTTTTTTTTTTGTAATTTAATGCTCTTTTTTATTTATATGAGAATATTTATAAATATTCTTTTAAATTCTCCAAATTCGTTCCATGTAATTTGATGATTTCACAAATTAATGTTTTTTTCCATGTTTGATTTGTTATATTGAGTTGGTTTTTTTGGTCTTTTTTTAAAAAAATGTAGTTCGTCGATTGACCACTTGAACTTCTTTTTTTTTTTTTAAAATAAGCTTTGTGTATTTGAACAATTTAAGTAGCCTTAAATCTATGTTAAGTTTAAGGTTAATATATCGTGCTATCAAGGATCTCTATGGTGGCATATCACACCTCAAAATTTAATAATAATTTTTTAATATATTTTAGTATTTAATTTGACAAATTAAATGAAATATAAAATCTCTTAATAACTCAAGGGTATAATAGGAAAGAAACTTTTTCTAGAATTTTAAACCAAACATAAGATTAAATGGGAAACATGAACCAAACACTTGATAAAAACTAATCCCTGCATTACTAATCCATGCATTAGTAATCCCTGGATTATGCATCTTTGTACCAAACGACCCCTTAGAGTACTATTTATCGTATTAAATAACTACGTAAAATATAATACTCCTCATCAACAAGGATGAAGTAATATGAGGTGGAGAGAGTACAACGCAATCAAAAAGTTGTTGGACTCGATCTGAATGATTACTCCTTGTATCTCGTGAATCTTGTTTTTAAATCAAACACTTAAAACAGTTGAGATATATAAAAGAAGATATTCTTCAAAAAAATATTTTTATATTTTTCTCACACCATATGTAAATTTAATTAAGTTATTGTCCTGAAACGCGTGCCCACATGACTAGATAAATTAAACGGAAGAGGGTCGGAAAAATATCTCAACTTTGGTCGAATTTACTGTTGCGATACTAAATTTTCATGAAGATCTATTACCTCCCTAAACTATTTAATACCGTATATTAAACATATATATTTGCCCACGTGGATATAAAAAATAATACAAAATTATAAATTGTAATGTGTCCACGTGAGCACATGTATACCTTTAAAATAAACTATTAAATAGTTCAGGGGGTAAAAAATATGATAATAAATAGTCTAGAGAGGTAATAGGTCCTCATGAAAGTTTAGTATCGCAATAATAAATTTGACCAAAATTGAGATATTTTTCAGACCCTTATCCCTAAATTAAAGTTAGAAGATGTCCCTGTAAGAGTAAATCAATACTTTACTGTAATTTTTTTCGTTTTCTTTTATAATATCTTGAAACTTAGTAGTTTAGTTTCATTACCTGAACTATCAGTGAGTTTTTGATTCTCCATACGGTAACCCCAACATAATTTTACGACTTACTAAAAAAGACGCTGCAAAGTAGCTCGTGGCATACATAACTGTGCCAGCTTCAAAACGCCACAATTCGTTTTGTGGTGGGGTAAAATATCTCCAAGTTGACAAAATAATAATAATCTACAAATTGAAAAGATGTATAAAAACAATATTCAATTGTTACGTTAGTGGAGAACACTTGCACCATTTCTCTCTCTTACATTATGCACTCATCATTTAAAGATAAAGATAATTACTCCCTCTGTCCACTTTTATTTGTTATGTTGCGCTTTTCGAAAGTCAATTTGACTAATTTTTAAAGTTAAATTAGATTACGTTAATTCGATATTTTTTTAAAAAAAATTAGATATTCAAAAACTATACGAAAAGTACTATAAGTTGCAATTTTTTGCATATCAATATGATGAAAATATACATCGTAAAATGTTGGTCAAAGTTCTTATTGTTTGACTCTAAAAAAGGAAACCATGACAATTAATTGTGGACGGAGGGAGTACATTACACATCTGTAAACTCAAATATAAATATTTGCAACAAAAGAAAATAAGAAAAGTATTAATTATGCAGTAATGTAAATATGTTATATTGAAATTATTGTGTGGAGTTTATAGTTATGGGAACTAGATAATGATGGGATTCAAAAATAGATGCTAAATATTATACGTTTGGTATCTAAAGTTCTAAACCTATGATCCAACTAATTCTTTTAGGGGGAAATGGTATATAATAGCAAATTATTAATTCAAATTAAATGCTATAAACATAGTTTGATTTAATTGTACCTCATAGCAAACTGTTGTTATTTCACCCCTCTCCTGGTGAATCTCGCTCGCCACTCTCGTTCTCTCCCTCGCCTCTCTCACTTTTTATACTGATGACTATTATGTTTTTTCGCCTTTGGTACTTCATTGCAAGAAATTGCTTCTCTAGTTGTTTCAGCATGTATTGACGTTTTTCAACAATATATTTACGGTCCTTGATTCATATGTATGTCCATTCATGCCAATACAAACCCAAAACGCTCTTTTAGTGGGAAATGAAATTGTCGTGTTGTTTGATCTACTTTCTTTAGTAGTTTGGTCATATCGCACATTCCAATAGTGTTGCAAGACAAATTGATTGATATGAATCAACTTGTCGTTTTTTAAATAAGAATATGATATTCATCGATTAAAATAATGGACAACCAATCAGAATCTAAAAGTATGAAAATAATTGTTATACTATATCTATTGTCGGTGCTAGATTCAGAAATTTTGTATTATGAATGTTCAACTATTTTTAGCTCGGAAATTGGTACATAAAAGGGGTGCCCAATTAATATATTCCAATATATTGAGTACTAGATTTTGTACGATAATGTTTGTCGCAAAAACCAATGGAGTACCCATAATACATAACAAGGCAGTGGAGCAGCCGTAATACACAACATAGGTCCGCGCTACTAGGACTGTATACAGTACATCACGTGTTAAGAGAGTACGTCTGCAAATCATTTATTATTAGGGCGTTTCGTAAATCGAGCAAGCTTGAAATGACATAACATAAATAGAAGATAAATTTTATGGAGAGCAACAAAAATTCACATACCCACTAAACCAATGAGTAAAATCTTCTCGTGCTAATGTCATATTTGGTACCTAAATAGAAGATAAATTATTCATGTATAAAATTAAAGGAAAATTGTGTTGAATAGCAAAAATATGAACGATATTAAATGATATAACTACTATTTTGGAAAATTGTGATTCGTAGTCATAGTCTCCTTAAATCTTGCTATTTGTTTAATTTGTATAATTCGCTCAAAATTGTATGATTCGCATGATCGAAATTTTGTATGATTCGATTCCTGATTGTATAAATCCCTAATTTGTATATGCTTACCCTAGCTATTTGTATATGATTTATGAAAAAATCACAATAAATTACCTTGTTTCTATATTGGCAAATGAAATATACAAACAGAGTTCTGAAAAATTCCTAAATGTATAAAACTATAAATACATAATTTGTATATACTTACCCTATTTGTATATTCGCAAGCGAAATATACAAACGGGCAAGCAAAATATACAAACCACGTGAAATATACAAATCATTGCCTCCATAGCAAACGAAACTATAGTTATGGTCTTATGGAATGCAATTATCAAAACTATAGCTATAGAGTCTTATTATGTTTGCTATTTCTAAAATTTACTCAATTAATATTGTGTGTGATTTACTATTTAGAAACTCACATAACTAACATTACGAGGGGAATTATGTATTATTTATGCAAGATAAAAGATGAAATAACTAATACATAAATAAATACTTTTTACATAAAATAATACATAGATTCTGTTATAATTAATCATTATATTACTAATACTTGCATAACACTGACTAGTTTAGTGTATAATATATGATAGTACTATATTTGGCCGAGCAGCCTATCGCTGTTGTCTTTCCTGTTCTAGCAATATTTTTTACTTTCTACTCCCTTTCCTCCATTAAACTCAATAATGGCAAGTTTATTCTCTACCCCCTTACGCACAACTGGTGTCACCAAAGAACAAAGCCACAAAAATCAACAAAAATCCCCTGACATAATACTCTCTGAGCTACCAAAAGAAAGAGGTTGGCTGAGTGAACATATTCACCAATACAAAGGCTTTTGGTATCCCACAGGAATTCTTCAAGGTCTGCTAGCACTTCAGCAGCAGCATTTCAAGCCAAAACCAAACACTGTCTTACTAGCCAGTTACCCAAAATCTGGCACTACATGGCTTAAGGCTCTTCTTTTTGCTATTAAAAACAGAGCTGAATTAGATTTCAACACACACCCTTTGCTCTCTTCAAATCCACATGAGTTAGTACCACAGTTAGAGGCTTATGCATTTAAGCACCCAACAAATCCAACACCAAACACTTGTCTAATGCATTCACATCTTGCTTTCAATTGTTTACCAGAGTTGGCTAACTGCAAGATAGTATACGTCTTTCGCGACCCGAAAGATGTGTTAGCTTCTTGCTGGCATTTTATACAGAAATTAAGACCTACAGAACTTCCTTTCATTTCTCTACCTGAAGCATTTGATCAATTCACTAAAGGGTATTCCCCTTTTGGTCCATTTTGGGATCATGTAATGGGATATTATAAAGCCAGTTTAGAATTTCCAAAGAAAGTTTGTTTCTTGAAGTATGAGGAATTGAAGAAAGATCCAATCTTTAATGCAAAGAAATTAGCAGAGTTCTTGGAGCAGCCTTTTTCATTGGAGGAAGAAAGTGAAGGAATTGTGGAGAGAATAACAGAGCTATGCAGCTTTGAGAAACTGAGTAATTTGGAGGTGAATAAAGAGGGCACACACACTGGATTTTTCATTCCTACTATTACTAACAACATATTTTTCAGGCAAGGGAAAGTGGGTGATTCCAAAAACCATCTTTCAGAGGAAATGATTGAGGTTCTTGATGAAATCACAAAGCAAAAATTCGATTTTGATTTGATGAACACATCTGTCACTCCCCTGCAAAATGGTAAAGGGATTGAGTCAGACCAGAATCATAACAACTAGCATGTATTTTCTTCATGAGGAAATTGAGCCGGACGATCTTTTGGAATCCATCTCTTTATTCTGGAAAGATAGTAGGAAGGTCTGCGTACACTGTACCCTTTCCACATTACACTTTGTGGGATTTCACTCATTATTGTTGTTGTTATTGTTGAGGATATTGTCCAACAAATAAAAATTTCCTTTAATTGTTTTGGTTACTCTATGTAAGTCATGTTGCAAGGTTTGGTTCTTGATTCCAATAAATGTTCCTTTTTGTCATTTCTAATGATTGGCAATTCTTTATCTACTTCCTAGCAGGGTAGAGCTAGAATATAGATTATGAGTTCGATTAAACAGTAATTTTTGCATATTTATGTAAGAAATTTATGGTATATGTATAAATTATTTACTTAAAACTTAATAACTTAAAAGAATTAGGATCTAGAATACATGAGTTTCAATTCTTGATTTCGCCTCTACTTCCTAGCTAGTGAATCATTTTGGTCCAATTAAGTAGTTTAGCTCTTATGTTCTGATGGATCATTCTGGTGGAGGAAATGATTTGGGGGAAGCTTTTTAGCTCAAGACAATAAGAATATGTTTTACTTTATATTTTTTAACGATTGTATTTTAACAATATGTTTAGAAACCTTGAATAGTAAATACAACAGACTAATTAAAATTTGAATATACTTCGTCCTTTTTCATTTTACCTGACTCATGCATAAAAAATAGATATTACATACTTATTCAATAAAGCAAATCAAAAAAGTTCTATTAGTATTTTTTACTATTATATTATTTATCGTATTAAATAACTATATAAAATGTAGTACTCCTTATCAACAAAGATGAAGTAATACGAGGTGGAGAGAATAAACGCAATCAAAAAGTTGTTGGACTCGATCTGAATGATTGCTCCTTGTATCTCGTGAATCTTGTTTTTAAATCAAACACTTTAAACAGTTGAGATATAAAAAAGAAGATATTCTTCTGTCACACCATATGTAAAGTTAATTAAGTTGTTGTCCTGAAACGCGTGCCAACATGACTAGATAAATTAAAGGGATAAGAGTTTAAAAAATATCTTAATTTTGGTCTAATTTGTTGTTGCGATACTAAACTTTTATGAGAACCTATTACCTCCCTAGACTATTTAATATCGTATTTTAAACATATATATTTGCCCATGTGGACATAAAATATAATGCAAAATTATAAATAGTAATGTGTCCACGTGGCACATATATACCTTTAAAATACACTATTAAATAGTTCAGGGGGTAAAAAGTACGGTATTAAATAGTCTAGGGAGGTAATAGGTTCTCATGAAAGTTTAGTATCGCAACAGTAAATTAGACCAAAGTTGAGATATTTTTCAGACCCTTATCCCTAAATTAAAGTTAGAAGATGTCCCTGTAAGAGTAAATATATACTTTACTGTAATTTTTTTCGTTTACTTTTGCAATATCTTGGAACTTAGTAGCTTAATTTCATTACCTGAACTATCAGTGAGTTTTTGATTCTCCACACGGTAACCCCAACGTAATTTTACGACTTACTCCCTCCGTCCCTTTTTAGTAGTCCATTTTAGAAATGACACACAGATTAAGGCAACAATGATTAGCACAGTGAAGTTACAATTTTACCCTTATGACAACTTTTCACTTCAAAATTACAACCACTTATTTGAATTCAAGTGAAATAAATTGGAGGGAAGCAACATACACTTTTACAATTTTCAAGAAGTGTAAATAAGGGTATAATAGGAAAAAATTTGTTGTTCTTTCTTGATTTGTCAAAATGAACAACTAAATAGGGACAACTAAAAAAGGAAATATGGACAAGTAAATAGGGACGAAGGGAATACTAAAAAAGACGCTGCAAAGTAGCTCGTGGCATACATAACTGTGCCAGCTTCAAAACGCCACAATTCATTTTGTGGTGGGGTAAAATATCTCCAAGTTGACAAAATAATAATAATCTACAAATTGAAAAGAGGTATAAAAGCAAAATTCTATTGTGACGTTAGCGGAGAACACTTGCACCATTTCTCTCTCTTACATTATGCACTCATCAAAAATAGATGCTAAATATTATACGTTTGGTATCTAAAGTTCTAAACCTATGATCCAACTAATTCTTTTAAGGGAAAATTGTATATAATACCAAATTATTAATTTAAATTGAATGCTATAAATATAGTTTGATTTAATTGTACCTCATAGCAAACTGTTACTATTTCACCTCTCTCCTAGTGAATTTCGCTCGCCTCTCTCGCTTTTTATACAAACACAAATGTATAAAATGCGTTTGTGTTTGTATAAAGCAAGAGAAAATTGTATATATACATATATTTTCGTTCCCCTCTCTCCCCTCTCCCAGATCTCGCTCGCCAGTCTCGCCCTCGCATCTCTCGCTTATACAAACAGAAATGTATAAATTGTGTTTCTGTTTGTATAAAGCGAGAGAAAATTGTATATACACATGCAAATGCATATATCTTCGTCCTATACACTTATAATTATACAATACAAATATTCCCTTGCCCAGTTCTCTTTTGCCTTTTTCTCTTTCTCGCTTTATACAAACACAGATTATACAATTGATCTTTTGTATATGTATACCGAAACAGAAACATATTATATACAACTGCTTTCTTTTTATATGTATAGCAAAAATGCTTTCTTTTGTATATGTATATCGAAATATACATATTTGTGTTTGTTATGAAGCACAGTTATGCAAACTATAACTATAACATACAAATATGATTTTTGTATTTGCTATATGTGAAAGTTGTTCTTCTTTTAACCTCATTTACGCTACACAAGAATCCTATACCAAACCCATGATCCAGGTAATTCTTTTAACCTCCTTTACACTACACAAGAATTCTCTTTTGACAGTATGGTTTTTCATGTAGAGTTACTGGTGGAAGAAAAAACCCGCTATTCATTTCTTCATGAATATTTGACTAGTTGAGTCTATTAATAGAGACTATATTGCGACTTACAAGTAGTCAATCCCATACAAAAAAAAACTAAGATCACAAATACTTAAACTTCAAATTTTGAATCTATCTATATTGCAACTTACAAGTAGTCAATCCCATGCATGTGCACACAAACACATAGTGAGTGAGAGTTGACCGGGGGGGGGGGGCTACCGGCAAATGTCAAACGCAAAAGAGATCCAATTTCCTCTTATTGTAACCATTTAATTCTGTCACATTTCCTTGGTGTGATTAGAAGTTAATTTTTAGACCATACACTATAGGAATTAGGAAAATATTTCAGTAAATTTACAGAACACTTTAATTCTCGAAACACAATCACCATCTCAAATTTTAAATGATTTGCAATAGCAAGAATATACAACAAAGACTAATCTATTCTAATGAAAAGTTACCAAATTGCTAATTCTGTGTGACCATCTTCAGTTGCACAAGCTCTAAACATTCCGGTTGTATTAAATGGCATGCTAACTTCCCCTGTGGCCGATACAGCAATCAGGCCAGTGGTTCCTTTTGGCGCAGATTCCTCTATAACGTAGTCTGCTGCTTCCTTGAGAGAAAGCCCTTTATACTCCATTAGAGCAGCCACATCTCTTGCTACAGTCGCACGGATTATAGCTTCACCTTTGCCTGTAGCAGAGACTGCACATAGTTTGTTTGCATATGTACCTGCACCAATAATGGGAGTATCTCCTATCCTTCCAACCATCTTGTTTACGTGTCCTCCAGTAGATGTAGCAGCAGCTAAATGTCCAAAGCTGTCAACAGATACACATCCAACTGTTCCTAGCTGACTATCTCCACTTGGAGCTGGTGTTTTGTCATCTTTTGGTATAGGCCGTGTATTATAATCAACCTGCAAATTGGTAGCAGCAATGTTAACCAAAAATACCAAAGCAGAAAGCATCTCGATGTTAAGAACTACAGAAGAATTGAGTCTTGAATCACGAGACTGAGTTGCCAAGAAGGGAATAGAACTAAAAAGCTCTGTTAGAGACATAGCCACATGACTACATTTAAGCTATTGAGGCCGACACCATAATCAAACTCACTAGAAGGCCACAAGACGAAGACCCAAGTACAAATGGATAATATTTTTGTTGATGCTTTCCAAAAAAAAAACACCAAAGCTCTTAAAATTCACAATCAAAAGGTTAGATAAAAACAAGTACAATAAGAAAACAGTGGACTTCTATCAATATTAAGGCCAAAAGCATGAATATGCTATCTTGCAACAAAGATATAACAATGAAGAGATAGGGTTATATACCTGGACTTTGTTTGCTTCTTTTGCTTGTTTTAGTCTCTCGATATTTCTTGGCGTGATAAAATGGCTTGAGTCCGTGGTTTCAACCCCCTTGACAACAGAACCATCATAGTTCATCAAATAGATTCTATGTAAAAAAGGATTAGAAAAATGAACATAATACAATCATACAACTAGGGGTTATACTATCAGAGGAAGTTAACTAATAGTAAGTTTAAAATGAATTAGTCACCTATGCCCGAATGGTCACATTAATTAACCAGAAAAACATAGAGAAACTGGTAGCTGCTTGAAGTCCATAAACAGACCATCAGAAATTAGAACTGTAATTAAACAGTATTAACAGAGAGAATAATCTGTCAAGTCTTTGCATCATCCAGTTTCCGGATACAAGATATCATTCATCAGCATTAAGTACTTCAATAACTTTCTTAACGTTTTCTTCAGGCATGTTCATAAGAGAGAAGACAATTAGAAAAATTTTACAGACCTGCTCCCTCGCAAATGCTTCCGCTCCCTCAAATGCAAGATATATATGTGGAGTTTTTTCCATGACCAGCCTAGCCAGAGATATAGCATTGACAACAGTGGTTAGGCCAGAAACAGCTCCACAGTTTTTCGTATTCCCATCCATGATGCATGCTTCCATTTCTACTGTGCCATTGCTGGTTAAGACAGACCCTCTACCAGCATTGAAGTATGGGTTATTTTCTAGTTCCCGCACCTGCTTGATCCAAGATAGTTAGAAGCTATCATAACATCAGTAAAAGGTAAAATAAAAAAAACTCATTGTACGGAAGGCTCCCGGAGAACCCAAGTTTTTCAGGAGCATTTCTACGCACATATATGGAATGACACTTTCCCTTGCACGAATTGAAGTAGTGGAAGTATGTGTTTGTAAGAAAAACTAAAGCAGGGAGCAAGAGCACTGTTAACAAAATTAACAATAGTATCATCCTGCATGCTAGTGAGAGGTGACAACTTAGGGAGACATCACAAGAGAATGTTATTGAATATTGAGGTGAAAACTCCAACTCAATCTCAGAGGATCAAATAGAGATCATGTTTCTATAATCTTTTTGAAGCTTTAAATCAGGAACTCCAACTTGCAGAAGCTTTTATAGTTGATGTCATGTAGATCCATGAAATTACTAGACATCCAGTAAGTCAATTATTTCATAAGCCATAGATAAAAAGCTATTCATCATAAGAATCAAACACTAGTCATCCTAACATAGTACTAATAGAAAAACAAGTAAACAAAGATCCCTCCCCCAAACAACCTGACGAGAGAGAGAGAGAAAATGAGTCAAACCCATGTTTTTTCCTCTAATCATGGTAACAAGTGATATCCATCGCGAGTCTTGATGAGAAATTGAACAGATGCAAGGCAAAATCCTACATTCTATACTTTAAGATAAGATAGGTAAAGTTGGTAAGTAGTATACCACGAGTTCAACAACGTCCAAAGGGGATTTTTGGGCCTTGATAGCATCGACGCCAATCTGTAAGCAATAGCGAAGAGAGGCTTCTCTGTGCTCACGAAGCTCCGGCGGCAGATCCTTGGGTATGTCACCAGAGCCACCGTGCAACGCTATAGCCCAACCCATAATTCTCTTCTCCCTCTCGTTTTCCAAATTAGTGTGATTGGTTTTTTTTTTTTCCCTGAAAATTGGATACCCCTGATTAAAATAACCTTTTTTTTTATTTAACTATGTATTACGTAATTAAGATTTTATATCATTTAAACACATACCTCAATTAATATTTGTATGTCATTTTGACACTTTTTGCTTGGCAAATTGTGTGTCTGAGGAACATATTTTTTTTCTCCCTGCCACTTACTCCACCACACTAAATGTGGAAAATCTTAGAAGAAGAAGAAGAAGAAGAAAAAATTACACTAATTTTGAAAAACCTTGTATAATAAACAGGAAAAATTGAAAGAAAATTGGTAGAAGAATCCTATTATCTTTGTCAGAACCTCGTCGGAAATCGCTACCGGCAAAATACTCCTCCTCGGTTATTAGATAAAATCTCTACAACAACAATGAAAAGAGAGTTTGGCAGTGTCTCTTCACTCTTGTAGGTGGTATTTAATAAGTTCAGTCTAAACTTTTAAGTTTGTAAGTCATTTTTAAGTGTAAACTTAATAAAACTTATGGTTTTAAAGTTGATCATGTTACCAGATTGAACCTGAAACTGATATGAGTCGCAAAGAGATGCAATAGGCCACTTGCTTTAGAGACGAAGTCAAAATTTGAAACGATTCAATGCATGTGAACAACAAAAGACAATAAATCTAAATCAAAAAATGTCCACTTTAGTGTTGCCTAGTTGTCGGCTGAAGACACAAACATGGAATCTTGACTTATGTAGAATGACATCTAAACATACTGTCCCATCTCTAATATTGGGATTGGGAAACAAACACCTAAGACAACTCTGATATACTCTTGAAGTAGGATTCGTCTTCCTCTATTACAGCCTGCATGAACAACAAGGCTCCGTATTAGCAGGTTTTAAAGAACGTCATGATGCATCTTTAACTTCAAAACAAATTTTCTATCGTCAAACCTTGATTATCATTATGGCAGCATCCTTGTGCAAAACCTCATTGTACTCGTGACAAGAAATATTCTGCAATACTTAAAAAGTTATGACTTTCTGATAATTTCATATACAGGGAAAACGATAACATAAACTAATTGTCAATTAAGTACTAACTTGTACACAGTTAGGGCAGCCAGTATCGCCAGAGCAACAACATGATGCAAGAAGTTCCAAAGCAGCAGTCAGCAGCTCACTGAATATATGCTGCACCTGCCAGATCAAATAGTACTTTTTCTCAAAAGAGGTTGTGACAACACTGCATGTCCTAATTCATGCGGTAAGGCATTAGATAACTTTTGTCCATGGTTTAAGATCACAGACAAAGTTGCTTCGCATTTCCACTTGAATAACAGCCATTGGTTTTTGGTTTTAATACCACATCCCCTTTACCAAGTAGCAAGCATAAGATTTACTTTGTTCATTTGCTAACCATGTTCAACCACAAAAATAATCAAGAGTTTCAATTGCTTTTTTAAACTTTATTCTTATTGTCGCTGAAGAGACTACAGATGAGATGAATTAAATGTTTTCAAAAGTTTCCAAATGACAAACAAATGACCAACTTTCTTATGTTCTAGCAAAAGATGCATTTGAGCAAATTAAGTAAATGCAGGTCAAGTGTGGGTTCTTTTATAAATATTTGTAAATATTCTCTATGATGAAAAATCCACCTCTTACACTTGCAGACAAAAGTAGTTTCTCAAATGCTTTACATATTTTGGACAGTCTAAGTGGTTTCCTGACTACAAGTTCCAACCACATCATCTTATACAAGCCATTGCATGCTCTTCAGAGAAGCTCTGACTAACTTGATGGTTAAATATAATGAAAACCATTTCATCTTATTATTGAAAATTTCCTTAATTCATTACTTCAATAAATAACATCCTAATGAACTTCACAATCTATTTCAAAGCCTAACCAACTAAATACAGGTCCCTTTATCACAAGTTTCCTGGTATTCCTTCGAATCTTTACAAAATGGCACAATCGTCCAATTAGCTTGCAAAATACTCCCTCCATTTCAATTTGTTTATCCTATTTTGACTTCACTCGGAGCTTAAGAAAGTAACGAAGACTTTTGAATCTTGTGGTCTTAAATTAAAGATATGTTACATGTACAGAAATGTCCTTTAATCTTGTGATCTTGAACATGCCATGTGAAAAATTGGAATTAAAGAGTTGCTAAAAAGAAAAGAGACATTCTTTTGAAACGCACTAAAAAAGAAAATAGGACAAACAAATTGAAATGGAAGGAGTACCATAATATGAGTAAAATCAAATCATGATGGAAAAGGAATCAAAAGCAGACATAGTTCACCTGTGCTGAAATGCCAGTCCCTCCAGGATGTGGATCATAAAGTAGAATTCTTTCTGGAACATTGCGGGAATCATAAGGGTTTACACACTCTGAGGCTAAATCAGATGAATTGCAAACTATGTACCTTCAGCACAAGTTTCAGGAGGCAATAAGAGAACAGTTCTAATATGTTAACTCAAACAGAGAACATGTTGAGCCAGATTCAAAACTCATGTGGTTGAAACTTACATAGGAACAACATTAAGAAGAGCATGACCAGCAGCATGTAAGCCTCCTCGGAATGAATAATTTAAGGTCTCTACAGCTGTCTTTATGGTCTGAGGAACTTGAATCCAGACAGCCTACATGTGCATTAAAGCTACAAAATTACAAAGAAGAAAGAGTACTAAAACAGTGATGAACAAACATCACACAGAGGAATTTCAGAAACAGTTCAAACTGGTATTCACCTGCGTTTCATATGTGTAATTAGGAAGTGAAAGTTCAACAGTGTCAAAGACTTGGTTGCTCTTTTTCCATATTTTGCGGAAACCGAACCACGTGGTCGTTACTCTACAACTTTGTGCTTGGGCAGTTGTTCTTGGAAGTTGCAGACTAGTAGTCCTTGCTGGGTAAGCCTACATAGTGGTAAAATATGTATCATGTCAATCCAACATTAACTGGGATGTAACAGCTGAATTTATAAATGACCTGGTATACAAAGAGTAACTTCACAAGTAGCATGCAATAAGCAATATGGGAATTTTCTTTTTCTTAAATAAGACCAATAAAGCATTTGTATTTCAAGATTAGACAGTTAGTTAAGGATCTCTCTATGACCGCAAGTGCATTCGAGGAGTTCTTCAGATGAAAGCAGGAAAATCTACCTATAAGCAGTAAACATGAAATGAAAAGGCCATGCTTCTTTAAATATCTACAATACTTTTGATGAGACTGGAAGTCCAGGGTTTTCCTCGACTAAATCTATTAACTCCGTGTATAATGAGAAGGCTAGCAGGACACATGTAATAGAGAAACAAAAAATCACATGAGAAGTAGTTGAAGAGGAAGGAAGAAGATGCAGAAAAGGTTGATCAAGAACACTCTGGATTACCCCAAAACATGGCCATGATCAAGTCATAGTGTTAAAAGATGAGAACTGGCAGCATTACCCAACTCTTAAGAATGAACAGCCGCAAATAAGAGAGTCAAAGAACTTTGTTCTTATGACTAGTCAGATGCGCATCTACTTTGCATCACAGTCTGAACACACCTTATTGCCAAGGATGAAACAACAGTACCATAAAGATTCCTCTTTGGAGGACAGAAACTAAGCTTCTTTGCTGTCACTAATTTGGGATAATGTACATCACACCCTTAACTATTTTTTGATAAAGATTACGCCCTTAACTATCTACACACCAATTCCTGGAGAGAGATTTGGCAGTAGAGCTCTAACACGTGGTAGAGATTACACAAACTGCAAGGGGTGTTTGGTTCACAAACAAGTTAGACCAGGATTATAATACGAGGATTAGACAATAATGGGATTATTTTGGATCTGCTATTTTTGGTAGATGTTTGGTTCATTGTATTAAAACTGGTATCTACAAAGTATAATATAAAACATGTGTATGTACTAAAATATATAAACTTGACTTTATCTCCAATTTTAACCTTGGCATTCTTAATATTTTGGGAGAAGAGCTTTGAAAGACATTTTGGCTATTTGATGCTTTTATCCCGTGATAGCTAATCCCGAGATTTTTATTCCACATGGAATCTGGTATAAAAATAGTACCAAAATTTGTGGTATAACTAATTCTGGGATTTTTCCTATACCAAAACAAAAATCCAACCGAACATGGGATTGAATAATCCCAAGTTCTATCCCGGGATTGTTATCCTTTATTCCATGGACCAAACGACACCTAACTAAACAGAGACTAAAAAACACCCATCATGAATTCTAGGGGTTAAGTGCTTTTTTTATATAAAAAAATGAGGCTATCCTTGAAAAACATGCAGAAAAATGAAAAGCACTACTTGAGACATACAAAGTTGGCACCAGTGACTTGGACATCAGTATAGTCACGAGTTTTGGTATAATATTTCAGGTCCGCTCGTTGGCACCAAGCAATTCTGTTTGCCACATCAAGCTCCTTCACAAGATACGTTTTCCCTTGATTCATATAATTAGCCCCTTCATAAACCTGTAAAACCATTTGGGCCTGAACTGATTAACTTGAAAAGGTAACTTCAAAAGAAGCCAAAAGACAACCTCAAGAATTGAAGAGTTCTGCTGCACCAAAATGATACAGACACACACATGTATTTTTGAAAACTAATATACACACACATGTATAACACACATGAATATAAGCATCACGATGATGATCTCTCTCTCCCTCTCTTTTTTCCTATTTATGGTTTTGTTCTTCCGCCTTCTGCCAATAGGAATAATCACAAGAACTTGCCGAATATAGTTAATATTACTTACCTGAAAGAAAGCCTTGCTTTCTTCAATTTCTTCCAGGAGTTCATTCTTTTGAATGTCAATCACTTTGTACCGCTCAGTTTCTATGGCTCGAATGCTAATGGCACTTGAGGGCATCTTCTGGTAACATCATAGAATGGTTTAGAAAAGCTAATCACACCCAGCTCACAAGCACAGTATCGTTTAACACTACACTCAAAGGATCATACCTCCAACCCGATGTAGCTCCATATTCTAGCTGTAGCACTACGTGATATATCTGTACTCAGGATTCCCTTGTTTTTAAGTGCCATTATGATACTCTCCAAGCCAGAACCAAAGTATTTCTCGTCATCAGACAAGTTCAGTGGATGTTCAAAAGCAGCAGCAGCCAGATGCTGTTCAAGAACCTGCCAGTCATATGTTTTTCAATGTTAAGTGAATTCCCTACTAAACACACGGCTCAATCACTAAAACTGAAAATGAGAGCGAGGTCAAGAAAACCCAAGAAGAAATCAAAACAACCTGCCGGTTTCTTGCATCTATATGACAACATTCAATTGGGCCCCTGAAAAGTTTCTGGGGGAATTTCATGAAATATTGATCCAAAGGCCCTTCAAAGGCAACATAAATAGCAAGTGATGCATTTCCCCGTCTGCCTGACCTTCCTGCTTGTTGCCACAGACTTGATGAAGAAATATACAATCTCAGTATCAAAATAAAAGTGTAAACCTTCGGCGGGACACAAACAAATAGTACTACCTAGCTATACTGCCTGGAAAGCCTAGATGTAGGGTGGCATCAATATGTCCTACATCAATACCCAATTCAAGAGCATTTGTAGCAGCAATACCGCATATACTACCATTGAAAAAGTCATGCTCAATTCTTCTTCGATCCTGCTCCACGAAGAACTAAGGTCAAACTATCTTTTTGCCAGTATGCATAATTTAATCTATATGTTAGAAAAATAAGCATAAGTGCCAAATAGAAACTACGGAAGCGAGAATTAGCTATTATAACGAGTATCAAATTTTCACATACGGCAAAGAAAATAAGGTGACAGAAGATTAGATTTTGTATTTTATATTTTTAATTGGGGGTAGGGAAAGGGGAAAGTGGAAATGGGGGAGTGGATTACAAGGTGGGGAATCGAACCCTCACCAACAAGGTGAAAATTCAAGTAGCCAACCAACTGATTAGATAGAGCCAACGAAGATGTTGGGGTAGTAACATGACTTAACATGGAATCAGCATATCCAAGGCTTTTAAATGCTTAGTAGAGATAAACTTTTTTTTCCTGTTCTGATAGGTAACATAACTAACATTACTTTAAACCTTTGCTTACAAGAAAGTTATCTGTGAAGCCTGGTGAATTTCTATAATTAATTCGGACACTAATTTCGAGCTTAAGGATGCAATTTTATCAAACTCGACTCACGCAGGACCCACACGAGTATAACAAAGCCATGGGAACACTTGTAATTAACATTGTATAGCTTGGAATAAATTTTAACTCCATGGAATAAGTGTTAAATTAATTAAATGAATCAATATTATTGGAATTAGGTGTAGTGCTTTCTTTTGGTTGTATCCTGAGAAAGTTATCTCTAAGTGGATTCTTAGGTCTAATGAGAAAAAATAATTGTAAATCTCTTTCAACTCATTCATTTTCAAGAATCTGAGGCAGAAATCATTTGGCGAATTTGCAGACTAGTTTGAAGTATACCATTAGGGACAAATTAATTTTATTTATGAAGAGCATCAGCCACGAGTAAGTTATTGAACAAGTGGGATATGGGTGCTTTAAAACGGATGAAAATGAAACAAAGTTAAATTCATTTTACAAGCCAGTCCCGTAAGCAAGTTTAGAACAACATGAAAAATACTTGTTTAAGTAAATTTCCTTGGTACAGATTAACTAAAGAGGACGAACAAACTGTCCTTAACCAAGTTATAGATCCTAACCTCAGCAGTATAACCAGCTCGGTAAGCGCATATAGTATCAACTAAATGAGGTGCTGTTTCCTGAAGAATCTCACGCCTTAGGACAACAAAATATTCCAGCACATTAAACTGTTAATAAAAGATAAATGAAAATGAACAATTTAACTATATAATGGAATTTCACTTACGTGTAACATAAGACAAGCTCACAAAGTTTGCGTGTTTTACAAAATGAAATACAACGAAGACCATGCTGCATCATTTCTGCAAAAAGGCAAGAAACCTCCAAAATGGGACTGCGACAGACACGGACATGATGCTGTTAGATATTAAGACACTTCTCTAAGATCATGAAATAACGAAAGAAGAAAGAAAAAAAGAGAAGAAAATGCATGGGGAAATAAGGTAAGAGCATCCCTGTTAGGTCCAACTTCCAAGAATCTAACATATTCTCAAGCATCCAACTAATGGAGTGATGAAGAGAATCACATGCATAATAAGGAAAAAAGTGGGAGATATAAGGAACATATGAAAAAGTCAAGGTGCAAGATTATGGCGAGGTACCTGGCACTAACTAATAATCTAACACAGTGCTCTTAGTAAGGCAGAAGAAAAATTTGCTAATGCTAGTTTGAATACTTAATATCTTTTAGCAATGAAGGCAATAGCTATTCTTACATGTTCAGCAGTAAGAAATCTCATAAAAAACTATTTCAGAATATTTGTCAAGTAAACCAAATGCCATTACTAATTAAATGCAGTAGCCTTATCCAGTTTAATCTAGTTTTATAGGTTCAGATGTTCATTTACTCCAAAGTAGCGGTGGAGTCAGTATCTTCATCACAAATTTTTTTCATACGTAGAATATTCACATAAGTTATAGAAAGTATTCCTACTACTACCCTGCCAATGCATGGTGACAATACACAATACAACCAGTCTCTGCCAACAAGATATCAAGATCTCATATACGTGTACAACATCCAAACAAATTTGCTGACATGGGGGTATAATAACCTGCCTCATGTTTGACAAATGCATATAGTGTATGCCTTGCATTTAGTTATCCTCATTGGGAGCGTTCTTTACAGTGGGCTTCAGTAAATTTCAAAGGAGAACTGATGTCCTAAGCTTTACCCTAATTTCTTCAGAATTCTTACAAGTTCATTGCTTAATGTAATATCTAGATGTATTCTCTCCACATAGCCTACTTGACTCGTAATTTACTCAGCCAATATCTTCTCATTCAACTTCTTTATAGACACAGTGTTATCTTCCTTGTATTTAACCACTCATTCACTTCCATCCAAACAGGCATGTAATTGGTAATATCATGTTATATGTTGTTTCCTAAGCCTACATCTTTTTTTCCCTTTCAAATTTCTTAACAAATTGGTCACGCTTTGAAGAATAAATCCTGGTATATATTCTTGTATGTCTAGAAATGAAACAGCACTTGCTTCCTTCCTGATGCAGCGAGGATGATCCACTTCGTAGGGAAGAAAAGATACAGGCCTTTTACAATATGCATCAAATTCTTTTTTGGGGGAACTGAGATCTGTATCAAATTCTCAGTGGACATAAAGCAGCAAATGCTTTTTACCTTGATCTTCTAGCAATCAGATGATTGTCAACAGAGCCATCATCAATGTCAGTCTTAATTCTCTTTGAGATCTGCAAGATAAAAGTACCTCAAAGGACGGGAAACAGCTTCCAATTGAATACACGCGAGCTATTGGTCTTTATCAGAAACCTACCTTTTTCAGGCACAAAGGAGGATTCCATAACATAAAAAGCTTTAAGCCAGATGGACTACCATCATTCTGAATCAACTCTATTGTTGGTAGATTTGAGAGCTCCTACATAACCCCACAGCTATGAGATGAGATTTTTAAATGATAAACAAATACTAACTAGTCTGAAATGATAACTGTATATACATGAGAACCCTCTATTTGAAGTATATAACATGCAAGCATTTACGAGGTTCATCATAGACTTCAGCTTTAGATGAATTCCACAGATAAAGGTGGAAGCATCTGCTTACGCAAAAGATAAAAATGGCTCAAATTTTGAGAAAAATATTATATTATATTATTATACATACACAATATAAGTGGGAAGCCCCAAAGGAAAAGGTGGAAAGACCAAATTGCCCATCAAAAGTTGAACGACTTTTTTACCATTCAAGTAAATACTGCTACTATAACAACATTTTTGTACAAAAATGAAATTACACATTCTAATAAAAAAATACAGCACATTAAAGCAGCTCTCTTGTAATGTGTTGGTAGAATTACTGGGTGAGCTTTGTCTATAATTCTTAGCCTAGAAATGAAGGGTTGATCCATCTAACCAACCCACCCACCCTCCTGGCATGTAGAAGAAAGTCTCTTCAAGAGGATTTCCCAGATCTGTTTAGAATTGCTCAAGATCCCAATTCTGTTATTGCTGCTAATAGAGAAGGGATCAATTGGGATCTGAGATTTAGAAGGAATATGCACGATTGGGAAGTGAATGATCTGGTAGACCTTTTTGCTAGACTACAACATTGTCACATTAATCTCCAGGCAGCTGATAAGCTCAAATGGGGACACCAGAAAGGAGTTTATACAGTCAAGGAAGGGTATCAACAGTTGTGCTCTAGAAACCCCGTGATAGCTAACTGTCCCTGGAAACTCATTTGGAGGACCAAGCTACCACCTAAGGTAGTTTCTTTTACCTGGATAGCTCTATATGAGGCACGTCTCACCCAAGACAACATAAAGAAAAGAAAAATCCAGTTCCCAAACAGATGCTATATGTGCAAAAAAGAGGCTGAAACCCCCAGACACCTTCTTCTTCATTGTGAGGTGGCCTCAGAATTATGGAGCATGTTTTTTTGTCTCTCTGGCATCAATTGGACCACACCCTTCACTGTTAAGGATGCATATGAGAGTTGGAGTCTATGGAAAGTTGACAAAGCCATCAAGAAGATCTGGATTATGATACCTGCTTGTATTTTTTGGTGTATTTGGTTAGAGAGGAACAAGAGATGTTTTGATGGAGAGTCAACTGCTTTAGGCATTTTGAAGACTAGGTGCATTGAAAATTTGTTTAGTTGGTCCAACTTGTATCCTGTTGTTAATGCAGAACGACTTCAGGATTTTACTAACTCATTAGCTCTGGCTTAGATAGTTTGTATAGTTAGCCAGAGATTTTTTTGTAAGCTCAAATGCCATATCTTGTAAATTTTGCATCTTCTTGATGCTGTTATTAATACCACTTATCTTATCAAAAAAAAAAGTTTTGTGATTGAATTTTATAAGTGGGTCTTAGCTATTTAGAAGAAGGTTTCTTCTAGTTTTAACTCTCAACTCCTTTTGTATATTCCTTAAGGTGGCGAGTTTGTTCCTTTCTTGAGTGTATGTTGGTGGTACCACATCTCTCTTCACTTATCTTCTTCATTTCCCATGTCATAATGTAAGCCACACAGATACAACTGTAACTCTGTAAGCACTACCTAGAATAGTTAAAGATTATTTTTAGTAAGACTATGCATGCTATTGAATACCTTTGAGTGCTCCACAGGATTTCCAGAAGTCGCAGTAGAAAATATAAATGAAGGATTACTGCCATACACTGCATGAGAAATCAATAAAAGGCCGACTTTTCATAAAAGACACAAACAAAACATAGAAAAAGATAAAGATGTCTCATGGCAGCAGTAGACAAAAGGGAAAAGGTACCATGAGAACAAAGTCGGTGAAGTCTCCTCAAAATAAGAGCAGTATGACATCCAAACGCCCCCTTATACGAATGAGCTTCATCAACAACGACAAACCTGAGGCATGCAAATGAGACTAAAGTGTCAAAATTTGACTTAAAAAGGAAAAAAGAAGAAAAGATCACTTCCAGGGACACTCAACCAAAGAAAAAGAATGGACCAGGAAACATTCAAACACAGTAGTAACGTGAAACAATACTAGGACCAAATGATCAAGGAAATTTACCTAAGATTTGATAAAATTCGACTGAATTGTCTATGACATGGCAAGATTGAGACATGCAACATATCAGGATTTGTGATCAACTGAAAAAAACAGATGAAATTGCAGTACTTGCACAAGAAAAGGGAAAGGAGAGCTAGGAAATAGACAAACATAGGAAAGGACCAGAACAAAAATCTCAACCTATCTAAACATCAAAACTTACTGTATACCAGTCTAGCATTATCACGCAGCCACTTCCTATCCATCTGAGAAGTGTCCCCATCATATACACCAATTCTGAGGTCAGCACTAAACTCGTTGGTCATGTTTAATAAAGACCTTAGTTGATCTTGTGCCAAAGCCTGCATTGACAACGCAAACAATGTAGAAGCTGCCGCAGTGGTGCTAATGACTACAATGGAATGAGGCATTTCTTAGCAGATGCAAAGCCTATCCAACAAACATATGCAGAATATATAAAGGCAAAAGACTTCTGTGAGACTAGCATTCCCAAAGGCTGAATGTTCAACAATTAAGCTTGGAAAGTATAAAGCAAAGAACCTTTGTAGGAAAGAGGTATAGAGCACATGCTGACAAATTCTGGGATAATACTTCCAGAACTGGCACATTGTAGCAAAGAGATTTCCCACTGGATGTCAAGGTAGCTACAACAACATTTTTTCCCGCAAGAGAAGCCTGGATAGACTCAGCCTGCAGATTTATAATGCTTAGAGAGTTTTGGATAAAAGTTTTGTTTAAAGGGAAACTATATTAGATAGACCAGCATATTACCTGATGGCTGTATAATCTGGTAATTCCAATATTTTTCAATGCCAATACTGTGCTTTCTGAAAGTGCACTTGGGATCTCAACATAGGTGGCATTGCGGGCAGTGATATTTTCAATATGAACAACCTGCACCAGGAACAGAAATAATGGTGGATAACCGTGGGTTAGCTCTTACAGCAATAATTGGCCGTACAGTAGCTAAATTGAAGTCATTCACAATTGAAGTTCATGTCCACTGAAGTGAGGGCTTCCACTTTATCCGACAGCATCGCAATGAATCGCTCTCTTGGGATAACTCATCCATAAGAAAAGGGAATGGAATATATGTAGTTGCCAAGAGGGGGAGAAGAATAATGTGAAAGAGAAAATGCAACAAGGTAAAAACCTGTCCATCAGATCCAATCCCTTTTCTCAGATGTTCCACCATTTCCAAAGGTGTCATAGGATTTGTATCCTGCATGCCAAAAGCTTATCAAAATTGCAGAACTTCTCAGGTCTTAAAACTTAAATCATTTACAATTCTTTGTCATCTATTAAAAAAAAGGACCACAATAACCAAGGGAATCTTGCACTGATAAAAGGTCATTCAAGATACTGCTATTAGCTATACCACTGAAACAGGCAACTACAAGTGTTCCTTTTTATAGCCTTCACCTATCCACTTCATTGAAAATTCCCCTTTCTAGAAATATCAGTCACTAAAATATCCAATTGGAATTTGTTCTAGCAAGAGAAGATATCTATCGCTAGCATCTTAAAAGGTGACAAATATTTAGAACAAAAGAGCAGATGCATTCTGCTAAGTTCCCATCATTTATGTGCCTATATTAACAATGACCAATTCCTTCATAAGCTTGATTGACCTCTGAAGAAACAAAGATTAAGTTATTTGTAGTGTTCATGAAAGCACTTCTAGTGAAGAAGAATTACAAAGTAAAAAATCAAATGCAGAGAAAGTTGTGAACTGGAGACTCTCACAACTGCAAATGTACCCAAAAAAATAAAAAAGACTTGCATAGAAGTAGCACGTTATGATGGATTAAGAGAGCATCAATTACAAAAGGCTCAATGCACGGTTTTAAGACTTACACAACAGTTTGCTTCAAAGGCATGAGAACCTGCTCGTTTCGTGTCAATGCCTGTAGCACCAATACCACCTTGCTTCACAAAGGTAATGAAATCTTCCAGGGAAATTTTAGAGAACTCATTTCCATTTTGACACTGCATTACAAAATTAGTAATTTACTAATTTAAATCATACAAAAACTGTCACAATGAGATGGTCAATATCATTCAACTCTGCTTATGTGAAAGACCAGCAGGTTCCGTGCCCGGATAAAAAGAAGTGGCTAAAACAGTCAAACTATGAAGGACCTCATAACATTGAACAATCAAAATGAACAATGGATATAAAAGGATCAACAACTTAATAGAAAATAAATACAAATAAACACTTGCTTGAGCCCAAGCGCTCTGGTGCATGATTACCTAACTTGTGCTTGTCGGTCAGACATGCTACCTGGTTGATTAATCGAGATGCTAGACACCACTGATATTTTATTTAAGAAAAAGCAGCAGTAAGATTTGCAGCATTATAAAGAGATTCTTATGTTTGTGACAATTAATTCATCTACCTTCCAGACGATAAAAATTAAGCTAAACCCAGAACTTCAGAATATTACCCACCATATAATACCTAAGTAATTTCCAATAGAAAGAATCTTGAGATCACAAGTGCCAAACAATTTTACTTGCTAACAATTTTACTTGCTAGACATTATATTTCTTCAGAAGTTCCTTTCTTTGAAAGGTAGCTGCAACTTAATACACTAGTGAAGGACTTTTAGCTTAAACACAAACTAAATAACGTTCAGCCAAAAATTGACTCTAGTAAACATTTGCATACAGTAAGAAAGAATAGGATGAAAACCCCATCTTTTAAATTGGTCATGAAGTCATCAGACAAGAGTCCTGTAGTCTGAAACACCAAGTTAGATATGCCAACACATCCATAAACAGGAAAATGTAGTTGGACTTACAAGATAAATACTCAACACAGCATAAAACATGCATGTCATGATAACACATAGGCATAAAGAAAAATGTTTCACGACTGCGATTCTGCATCTTAAGTGCTTGAATTTCCAAACATTTGGATACTGCACAACACCAAAGTCAACTTTCAAATTAAAAAATTTGAGGATGCCTAGACAAGGTGAGAAATGGCATACCTTTAACAACTTGACTAACTTCAAAAGACTTGTTCGGAATGCATACTCCCTTTTCTTCATTGAGCGGAGAACATTTGATATGGTTACACTTTTTTTAGCTACTCAGCAGAAAAGGAGAAAAATAGACTTATTCAGTGCTCAAGCAGCCATTTTCCTAAATCAAAGAGCTAAACATGAACTAAACATACTACACTCTTTTTTGAAACTGAAAAACATACTTGCACTCTGTTCATCCTTTGTTGTTGAGTTTCTGAAAATATTAATACCATCCTTGAAATTTTTAACCACGGTATCATCATCAACAATGTGTACAACCTAAAAGAAAATAAGGCATAAGTGCTTGAAAAAAAAAGTTCATAGTCATGATAAGTGGTCTAGTCAGACGTCAAAGTTGAATTGCGGTAGCGAGAAGGGGGCCGACAAAGCCATTTCTAACTGATATATCAACATATTTAGCAAATTTAGAAGGGAAAGAATATAACTTCAAAAGATAGTGGGGGGAAATGACAACCTGACACCCCTCAAAATCCATTTGGATATGGTGATACATAAAGAGAACTGAATGGGATAAATGTTTAGAAGCATAAGCGAAATTAAGAATATAAGATCTTGTAAATTCCTAGAAGGGATACTGAGATCAAATCGTGCATTCACTAAAACAAAATATGCAAGTAGGGTAAGTGAGATATCTTGTAGCACCACTGATGTTCTCCAGAAAGAGAAACCCCTACTCTGGAAAGAGTAAACAGAACTCTGTAGACTATGGTAGTCCTCCTAAGTTCATAAGTTCAACTTCAGTAACTATTCAGACTTTATTATTACAGTACTTCCTTTCGAGTTGTAAACTCCCTGTGACATACTTGTGATCATCCAGAGGCACTTCTGCAAGGCCCTCCAACATTTATCCGTTGTCAAAAATGAATGAGTGACGCCACAGCTCAAAAGTCAGAGTGTGACAAGAGTATGTGAAACTAATTGATAAAAATGTTGAAATATATCAAAGTAGGTAGGGGATGAAAACTGTTAAACTAGCCAGAAGTTCAACACAGTACCTTAGGACAAACTAGGGAAAGTTGCTCGATGTCTGTGACACCAGCTCGAAATCCAAACAGACAGAGACGATCGAGTGCTCCCTTCAGACTGGAGTAGGTAACTTGTCCCTGCTGAAGTTGTAAGGAAGCTGAATAGATGCTTAAAAAAGAAAATATATTGCTTATTCTCCTCAACCACGTCGGACACCCGCACAAATCACTACCACTCATACATGGATCAGATACGTTGTCGTTTCTGTTGGCTTCCTCCCACATACAGTTGCCTGAATCCGGGTCGGTAAAACAATTTATAGACGCTAAAACCTGAACAAATATCTTAGCTTTCTCGTCATCCATGACATTGGAAGATGATTTTAGTATGCTAAGGACTAGCTCATCTGCATGTCCTTCCATCTTATCATCCTTGATGCTTCTCTTGCGCTTAACCTGTGAAGAACAACTCATCGGAACACTGCAATTGTGTCCATCTGAATCTCTATAACGTGTTTCATCCAAAAGAGCTTTGTTCTGATTTTCATTCCTAGATATGCTGCTCAAGTAAGACAAGTCTTCCATCATATCAGACCATGCTGTCTCAGCTTCTTTCAGAGTTGAGCCACCAACTGGGACAGATGAACTTGCAGGTGTCTCAGTTTTCTTGTTCTGTTGTCTGTCTTTCTTTGTATAGGGAACAAGTACAAGAAATTCCCCACTCCCAACTGAATGATCACTTATCTTACTCTCTAAACCTAATTTGACACCCTGATTCAAGAAAATAGCACAAAATATGAATATGAAAGGAGAAAAACAAATGAGGCAAGGTTTCAAGAAAGAGTGTCTGTTGTGTGGGGGTATACCATAACTTTCAAGAAAACAAAATACGAAAACACGCCTACATCATAGTTGACAGAAATCATCAACTGGGATAGATGAAGTTGCAGGTATCTCAGTTTTCTTGTTCTGTTTCTGTTTTTCTTTGTATAGGGAACAAGTACTAGAAATTCCCCACTCCCAACTGAATGGTCACTTATCCTACTCTCTAAACCCAATTTGACACCCTGATTTAAGAAAATACCACAAAATATGAATATGAAACGAGAAAAACAAACAAAACAAGGTTTCAAGAAAGAGTGCCTGTTGTGTGTGGGGTATAGCCTATCTTTCAAGAAAACAAATACGAAAACACTCCTACATCATAGTTGACAGAAATCATCAACTGGGATAGATGAAGTTGCAGGTGTCTCAGTTTTCTTGTTCTGTTGTCTGTCTTTCTTTGTATAGGGAACAAATACAAGAAATTCCCCACACCCAACTGAATGGTCATTCATCTTACTCTCTAAACCCAATTTGACACCCTGATTCAAGAAAATACCTCAATATGAATATGAAACTAGAAAAACAAACGAGACAAGGTTTCAAGAACAAGTGCCTGTTATTATGTGGGGGTATAACCTAACTTTCAAGAAAAAAAAACAAATAGTAGTAAAACACGCCTACATCATAGTTGACAGAAATCATCAAGTAGCAACGCAAGATTCGTAAAATTTGTAGAATAAATGAAAGAGATGAAGAGGAGTAAGAAATTGCCTTGTGAAAGAGATGGAAATTTGGGGAAATTGAAGCCGGTGGGAATGTTTTCTTGAGGAGTTGCTTGAGTTCTTGAATGGTTTTGTTCGGCAAAATGGAGACAACTATGGATTCACCCGTTAAGCTACGCACTTCCATACTCGTCTCCGATTCTTCCATACTCCGGTGGTTCTCGTTGGATTTATAAGTTGGAGCAAAAAACCTAATATTGGCGGGGAATTGCTGCTCACGTGCAAGTCCCGGCCTATGCACGTGATCTCATTATTTCCAGAAATATAAGAGTAGATGGAAGATGTTGTTTATAAAATCAAATTTAATGAATTAAAGGGAATGTTTGGTACAAAGGAAAATATTTTTTTATAGAAATATTCTTTTGAGAAATATCGGGTATGTTGTTGTTGTTGTTGTTGTATTCTTTTGAGAAATAAGTGGATTTCTTATTTATTTTCTGATATTTGTAAGTAAATAATAAAAAATATTATCACAATAATATTTATATGTAATCTTGCAAAAACATTACAGATATAGATTGAATATGAAGGGAGAGAGGTATGTAAAGATCAAGGGGTGGGTGTTGATGGCATAGAGAGGGTGGGAAGAGGATAATGAACTTCAAATGTTATTTTATGAAACTTATTTTTCTAGAAAGAAATTTTTTTAATTTTTTTTTTTACCAAACATAAAATAATTTAAAAAATATTTTCATCCGTACAAAACACACCCTAATTAATGGAGAATTTTTATTTTTTTTTTGGAAATCTCAGAGCATCCTACAACATCTGTCACAGTCTCTACCCTTTGAGCTTTGAATTAGCAATTAGTGATAACTACTCATTATGCAATAACTCACACATCATTCAAAAAAATGTAAATCACATTAAATAAACCCTATACACCCAGCTCTTGGATAAGTAGCACACAGAGGTCAAATTCGATTTCAGGTCTCCCACATGGGAGAGCCACCTACCAATCACTTAATCATGCCCTCGCGGGTTAATGGAGAACTGTTATAAGTAGGGTTGTGTATCGGTCGGTTCAGTTCGGTTTTAAGTATTATCGGTTCGATTTATCAGTTTTTGGTTTTTAAATATGCTATCGGTTTTTGGTGTTTAACAGTTCGGTTTTCGATTTAACCAATAAGAAAATGTTTGCAAAACTAATATATGACTTGTCCAACAATTTGACGCAAAATAAAAAAGAGAGAAATCAAATAACTCATTGAGTGCAAATGTTCTGCTTAGTGTAGTAATAGTATAGCAAATACTCACAATTCACAACCCTAGTCGTTGCATAACCCTTGTCATCGTCGTTGCGAACCCTAGCCGCCACCATTCTTAGCTCTTTAGGTTTTGACGCTGTGAATCTAAAGACTAATTAAAGTAATACTAAAACCTAAAGGGTAAATGTAGAGATCAAAGTTAAGTAGTGTTAATTGTGTAGGGTCTTAAGCTATAGTCTAATATAATGATTATATTAATATTTTTTGTTTGATATTTATGTGTGATTAAAAATTAAAATAGTGAATTATTATATTCTTAATGGGTTATCGGTTAATTCAATAACCCAATAATAATAAACAATAACACTTTTTTCGGTTCGATTTTTGCATACTCCTAGTTATAAGGGTGATATGCTACAAAAGAATGACTATAAAATCTACGTAAATTCTGCAGAACAATTATAAGATTAATAATGATACACAAAATGAATATTGAGCCGCTAAAGTTTAATATATCTACAAGATAAATGTACAAAAATCTGAACGTTAAGATAAATATATGGTCATATAAAATAGAAATTATTACATTCGCGAAAAAATTCAAATAATATGCATGAAAAATAAAATTAATTTGGTGTAAAGTATATTTACTTCCGGTATGAATAAATTGTTAACAAAGTAGACTTTACAGTCTTCCATGCATATACAATTTACACATTATGACCAAAAATAAAATTTTATAAATTTAGCAATGAACCTCATGAAAAAGAAAAATATAAGCACATACATGGTTTAAACTTTTGAAAGAAGTGAAACTCAACACCTTCACGAGAATATGGTGATCCTAAAACGACAGCACGTGTAGCATTAAAAGCACATCATTTTCTTCTCTTTTATTTTTTCGTATTTGGATTATATTAAAAATAATCATAACATTAAAAGTGAGTGTTGAGAAGTTGCCATATATATCTCCACATTTTACTCTCAATAATAGCATGTTATAAGAAATTATAACCGTCATTATTATGGGATACTAGTAGTTGTATATACAACTGTAATTCTCATGCTTCCATCTCTTCCTCCTTTAATTCTTCTTTTCAAATTCAAAAAATCCCATAACTCCCTCTCCTTAACATTCTCCTTTTTGCTCTCTTCAAGGAAAAAAAATAAATCAAACTTCCCTTATTTGTTAATTGAATAAGAATGAGCAGTCCATACACAGTAACCAAGCTTGTTAGATGGCGAATTAGAGATTGGGTATCTTGTTTCTATGCTTGCAGGTTCCCTTTAGGTAATTTTATTTCTTATGCTCTGCACTAGTTTTTTTCTTCTGTTAGTACTATAATTGATCTATTAGTACATTTGTAGAGGAAGAATCGAATAAGTTTTGCGTAATGACGCCTCAGAAATCGAGTAGGAAAATGGTTTTCGATCCGATTGGTGATAATAGCAGGAAGAACAGAAAGAAGAAGTTGAATAAGAAAATGGAACAGAGGAAAAAGGAAATAGTGAAAGTTTCAGCAGAGAAGGGTGATAAGGAAGGAGAAAATGACTCGAGCTGGCCTCGATTCTCAGAAGAAGATTATATAGTGTTTTGCTTTGAAGACGATGGAGGAATACATATAGTGGAAGATAGAAAATCGGAGGTATTTCACCAGAAAATTGATCATGCTAACGTTACTTCAAAATCTGTTTGTAGGAAGGTAATGAATCTTCTTCAATTCACCTTTTTTCGCGTAATTTCCTGTTTGTAAAAATATTAAATTCTCAATGTGATCAAAATATTTCTTGTTGGATTGTTGAAAAACAGCTTAAATATGTAGAGAATGCACCAGAGTTCCTTCCTCAGAGTAAAAGCGACACGATCAGTGTAGATGGAGAAAATAGCTTTGAATCAGCTGAAGAACAGATCCCCGTTATAGACGATAAGGTAAGTCCAATCTGAATGCACATTTTGGAGCATACATTAGGTGTTTAGTTGTGACAATTTGAGGGACTGTCTATGTATTTGGCGCTTTTTGATCAACAATATTCTCACTTATCCTCTACTCCACCTTTTAGAATTCAGAAATTGTTACATGTGATTGGCAGGACGGGGGAAAAGGAATCGATGATATGGAAGATGAATGGCCACCGGCTGTTGTTAAGGAGATCAGTCACATAGGTGAGGTTAGTGATGGCAAAACAACTCCATCTGCGGAATCAAGTGATTCTAATTACTCCACTGGTAGCACGGGTTCCTTTGCCTTCCCTGTGTAAGTATAACCATTTCTTCAAAATTATGATACTCTCTTGTTTAACAAGTATCAATGTACTTTTGATTGATTTTAGCAGAATAAGTAACTGTCTTTCGCTAAAATTGCAGGTTGGGCTGGGAATTGATGGGCAGTCCAGCTCCAATGCCAAAACCTGAAGAAGACGACGACGAAGAAGAAGAAGGCTCACGTTTTGGGAAGCATAAGGCTTGGTGCAGTGTGCGTCATCACTGTTGCAAATTTTGACACCTTGTTCTCCCCCTTTTCCCCATAGGACATGTTCTTACTGGATTCATCAAACTCTTTAAGAATATTTATATAGATCGTTCATTTTTTACCTTGTTTAGTATGTTTTACGTATTTCCAGCAACAACAAAATTGAGTAATGAGAAAGAGAACTGATATGTCAAATGCATACACCAATATAGAAATGGGAAGGTCAACTATAAAAAGAAAAAAGTGGCATTCAATAACACTGTTCAGAATACAGCACATTACTAACTAATTATACTTAAGAAATTTACTGTCACCATTAATTATTTGAACAACATCATTTGCATAGTAATAATAAAAACTATAGCAGACAATTTCCCAATTAGAATCCATGTTATGTTCTTATAACAAGTGACTGCAGATATAATCTTGCTTTGGCAGCTTCGGAAAAAGATGCTTCATCTTGATTTTCTTTAGCAGCAGCAATTGCTGCAATATAAGCTTCTCTTGCCAACTCTACTTCCTCCATTCCTATTTCATTTGGCTGATCCTGTACAAAACAAATCTGAGAATTACAATGCAACATAAGAAGCTGAAAAGACAAATATATCAAGTCCTTAATAGCATTGACCTACCCAGAAATTGGGCAAGATATGTACATAATAATTAGATATATAACAATGTTAGTATAACATCCAAGAAACCAGGTGAAGGTAATTGTTAGCTTACGTTTTCAATGTTCTTGTTGCATAAGTAAGGGATAACATCATAATCTTCAGCTAAAGTCCTAGAACCATTCTTTGTCAATTGTTGAACAAACTGCATGAACCATGCGATTTCTTGCCGCACCACATCTAAATCTTCCTGTAGTTTCTCCACTTTCTTGCTGGAAGTCATAGCTTCCCATTCTAACTTCTCCACAGCTGCTTGCTTGTCAGCTAGCTTAACCTAAGAAGAGCAAAAAAGAAGACAACGAGTGGCGGTTCACCCATCAAATTATGGAGATAATGGACAACATCACGGAAAATCTGAGCACAATCTAGTAGGAGTCAGTCTAAAGGTGCAGTAATGTGAAAGTGAACACGTCAGGAAAGTTAACCATAAAGCATTGCTTGAAACTTCTAGTTGGCATCTGCTTCGATACTAAACAGAAAATTACGGATATTTAATCTCCATTTTCTTAGTCTGTCTAACACAGGACCAAAGTTGAGCTAATTGGCTAAAGAGTAACTGAGAGACATTTAACTGAAGCCACACAATGGCTTTCTAGAAAAACCTGCATCTTCCGCTTTTCTATTTTGTGGTTGGGGTTGGAGAGGGTGCAGGATGACATTAAATATTACCTTTGCATCTGATAGTTGCGCTTGAGTCGATTTGAGTAAAGAGTCCTTTTCTGCATATTCCTTCTTCATTTCATCTAGTTTAGCATAAATAGAAGCCATTTCATTCTTTGAGATCTCTACTTCCTTCAAAAGTTCATCTTTCTCCGATAATTTCTTTTGCAAATCCTCCACTTGCCCCCTCAAAGCCATCAATTCTTCTCTATCTTTTTCTGACAAATATGATCTTGAGGACGTCATTGAAATGTTATCAGAGCATCCATCTTGGTCACCACCAACATTTTTATTTTGGTCCCTATGCTTTTTTGTTGATTGAGCTGCATTTCTTCCTTTTGCTTCAGAAGTCTGCAGCAGTTGTCAACGTTAGCATATGTAATGGATCAAACCAAACCAATGCTAGTTTGCATGCAATCAAGAGATAAGCAAGGAAACTTGCTTTACATAACAACCTTACAAAGAAGAATATGCAAGCAATGAGAAGTTAATTCACATACACAACAAATCCAACTGCAATGCCTATAGGAGTATCATATTTGATCAATTTCAGCTGAAACAAAGCTGACTTCTTATTTATTGTAGCAAGTTGATGGGGATGGCTTGACCTACTAACCTGAGAGAAGAAATGGAGCTGGAGAAGGGAACTGGTACATTAAAGGCAATTATAGAGTAAGATATTAAACCCTTTTGATGCAAACTCTAATTAAGTTTGTTTAGAGGAAACCGCAAATTTGATTTGAGTTGGCGTGCATGGATCTGAAGATGTCTGGCATTATTGTTCCACACAAATAGTAATTATCCACAAAATCAATGCAAGTGAAATTCCAAGAAGGTTTATATTCTTATTTTTCCATGCACTGGTAACATTCACATTGCCATTGCAGTGGTAAGTTGGTAACTAGCATTTTGAACCTTGCTTTCCAGCCTCTAATTTCCCATCTTTTAACCGTAGCCTAATTTCATATCCCAAAAATGGATGACCACCAACAATATAATCATCCATTGTAGTAGTCAGGACAAGCTAAAAATCCGGCATAAATAAACAAGCAAGACTAAAAGCATCTCCAAGACAACCACTTGAAAGATTAAACACCAATGATGAGTGAGTACAGGCAAATACCTGCACGACAAACTGACTTCTATGCATTATTAGTATTCAAAAAGAACCTCACACACTGTATCTGAAAAACAAGCACCCCACATAAATGTATAATAATTTACTTTCTTAGTCTTACGAAGATACTAGTTGCTAGAGCACCCAAGGGTGTGGCTTATGGGTCAATGAAGTGGGTTGAGAACTATGAGGTCTCATTTTCAAATGTCAAAAACAAAAATTCTACGTTATTTCTTCCCATCTGTCGTAGTCTTGGTGGATAGAGTTACCTAGTACTCTCTCCGTTCCTTTTTATATGTCATCTCTTTGTATAAATAGTTGGTTCATAATACTTGTCATTTCATAAAATCAATGCATAAATTACCATATTGTTCCTTTTTTACCCTTGTGAGTTATTAGCCTTGAAAATATACATTTGACCAACTTAGAAAAGCTAAGTAAATGATTCATGTTCATTGGTTAAATTAATTCATATTCATTGATTGAAAACTTGAGTTCCAAAAAAATTAAATAAGGGTAGAAGGGTAAAGTTACATAATTTCTTAATGCATGTGCAAAGTAAAAAAGAGACATATAAAAAGGAACGGAGGGAGTATTTGTTACTGGTGGAGGTGATAAGTTGGCCCAGACACTATGGTTGTATGAAAAAAATTAGTTGCTAGACAGAAGCAGTGTTTTACTTGCTACAGTTGCATAAATATATAAAAGAAAAGTGAGAAATGCAATTTTCAGAAGGATTGCAAGGAATTATATAAGTAACAATCTGATTCTGGTTACTTTATTGAACTTTCTATGATTTGTCTTCTGTCTCCCAACAGATTTCTCCATCAAGATATGACGAAGTAGATTTCAGATGAACACAAATTGTTTAGCCAAAATACTAATCTTATGACTTCTAAGAACTGTATCAGATATATGTTTCCTGACTAGATTGTTTGCAATTGACCGTGAGGTACTTAGGAAGAGATTCTTTTGCACTGATTGCAAAGTGGCAATACTGTAACATATCCAACACCTCTAGTACTTCATCTCTATCTTTCTTTCAGTTTGAGGGACCTCCCAACAAAAAAAACTTACTTCTCATCAAGTGGGAAAATCCAAGCACGGGATTAGCCTTCAGTATCAGGACAAAGCCAACATTGGGATAGATTAAGATCCAACAATACCCTATGCCTGGCAAGTCTAGAAGTTCTGGTACCTCACTTGCTCACACAGAGACATACAAAAAGACAAAAAATGGGCCCGAATGAAAGTTATTCAACTGTCAAGGAGTCCATAACAATGAGAAAGCAGGAAACCAAAATACAAAAGGTTCCATGTATTCGAGAATAAATCTGGGTCTATATTGCTGTCAACCTGGAAAATAGTTTGGTGAAAGTACTCTTAACAATATTTGAATAGCCATTCAATCACTAGTTTAATGAGACCTAAGTGAAAACTGGGTCTGAGACTTAAACCAAACTGACATTCTGGTTTAGACATCATTTGATCTAAAGCAAACTGCATCCTACTTTTAACTTTGAAGCTACTGAAAAGATGTCATTAAAGTAAAGATACTTCACAAAATGCGTTCAGTATAGAATTTGAAGCATTCTGTGAAAAGTGGATGAAGTGCTTAGTATCTACTATTTCCTTTTCTGGTATGACGCTATGAGCAACCTGAAAATTGATTTATACATACAATAACCATAAATTTTTAAGTTAACATCTCTTTGCAATTTCAGTCCAGAGGTAAGTCAAAATTCAGTCCACCCGGACTTACTTGAACCTCCAAATGCTATAAAAGGCTGCAATTTCTATATCCTATGAAAAATGCTGCCAGGAAGGTAAAGCATTAAATAAACATAATGTTATAGGAAAAGTTTCCAGGGAACTGGGGTTTATTAATCGTTGCTCTATCTATATACAAACCATTAAAAAAACGAAATTTACCCACGAAAAACTGCAAGCAAGTTGAAATTAAATCATCATTTCTAGATTTCAGACTAAAAATATGCCCAATAGGGGAAAGTGGGAGACGGAATTACCTTCTTGTAAAGAGACTCCCTTGAAGGCGTTTTAGTGTAGGTCATTGATCCCCTTCTAGTAAATGAAGACTTCGCCTTTCGATCCTGTAAAATCCACATGAATAAAATTCAAAATTCACACCCAGTTCAAGATCAAAGAACAACTCGGGTCAAGCAAAACTTTACTCATTCGGTAATTTTAGAAATTCAACATAATACACCAGATAACCGAACTGAAAAAAGCAGACCCAGAAAGAAAGAAAAAAAGGATTACAATGAGAGATTGAACAAGGGGGACGATCTGGACGAGGTCATTAAAGAGGGTACGGTCAACAGTTCCGGCAGCCGAATTAGAGAGAGAAGAATCAGTTCGCCGGAGAGTAGGAGAGCGGTCCTCGCCGGAAAGCCAAGACCTGGAGTCAGCTCCGGCACCGAAACCGCCATTGTTGTCCTGCAAATCTAGTAACTGCTGAGGCTCATACATTGTCGGATTTGTCGATTTCTGAGAATATTGAAATTTGAAATGCTTTTGGTTCTTCTTAGACTTTATTTATAAAAGGTAAATAAATATACATTCGCTATTTTTTGGCTTTTCAAAAATAATTTCATTTCAATATGCTTTAAGGGACGTTACAACTAAAAAGAAAGGTTTAATTTACTAAAATACCCATCAATTTCTAGCTAATTACGGTTTAATCTTTCTATCCATTTGCCGGCCTGGACCTTGAGAAAAAAATTGAAGAATCAGCATATTTTTGTAAATAGATATTGCAAAACATGTTGACATGTCGTTATTAATGAATTAAAAATTGAGAATCCAGAAATTAATAAGTAAATCATTACGAAAAAATCATAAAATTCGGTTTAATTTTGAAGATCACCTGCTCAATCAATTCGATCATTCTTGCCAGAATAATTTTATGTTAAGTACATAAGTAGGATAACTTTTCGAGGAAATTATTTAGGCTAAGTAACATTTCAGTGATTTATTCTCGACGGCTTGTTAATGTAGTAGGTTCTACTTGTACCTATCTTAGCTGCTACATTACTAGAAATTCCCAACTTTAGCTTTAATAAATATACTTGGAAGTCTATGATTGGGATAAAAAGTTGCTTGGTATAGGATGCAATTGTTGGTATAAGAAATGAAAGTGAGTTTTTTTTTTCCGCTTTGATGTCTGGTATCCACATTAGAGTCTGACTAATTCTGAATTCACGTTGAGAAGTCTCACATTGAGGGTAAAACGCTCCTTAACAAAGACAATTTTGTACTCAAGAGAACTCAAACTCGAAATCTCTGGTTAAAAATGAAGTTTCCACCACAAACTCTTATTGGTGAAAGTGAATTAAACTTACATGGATAATAAAAAATGCAATATATATATATATAACAATATCGAGTTAGACATCTGAAAAATAAAATATTACTTAAATGTAATTATATCACTAATGCAAAAATCTTTTATTATTAACTTAAATCTAAAACAATCGCTCACTTCTTCCTAATTTATATCATTTTGAGACATCTCAAATATTTAATATACGATTTCAGTAATCATCTAATATGACATTATTCCTTCCTAGGATGAAATACTTTTTCTTAGTAAAATTTGAACCGCCAAATTCTTCTATCTTTTCACTTCTTCACCTAGTTTATTGAGATTAATTAAAACATTGAAATATTGTGTACAATCTAATGCATTTTATATCATCAGTTTCTTACTTTTCAATCGAAGTTTCTTAAACATGAAATGGTCCTTAAAGATAAATAAAATTTGTGCTAAGCAAAATTTAACAATCCTTCGATAAGACAGAAAATAATGACAAAACATGAAATTATTGAGCAGGTCTATATGTCTCAACGCCCGACCTTTCTTATATTTGTTCAATTCAAATGTCGAAATCAAGATACTCTATGTAAAGTTATAACAATTATTTTACTAATAAAATGACCTAATTATCTTGTCCCTAATACGCCGAACCAAATTAAGGACCCCTACAAACTATAATATCATATATTTTAGAGAGTCAATTATGAAATGTCAATTCTATGATTTAAAAGGTTGCAGTACTTCTAACTAACAAAAACTGCTATCGTCGGCTAATTAATTTAAGCATTCCCCACGCAAAGAATTGTCCAAAAGTGTAAGTGAAGGATTAATTTCTTATTGACACAAACTAAGAAAACTTAAAACGTAACCATTAATTTGATTTTAATAACAAATTGCATTAATTGTACTACCAAATAAGAGAGTATGGATTTCCCTATAAATCCATCCTTCTTTTTTCCTAATATATCAAATTGATATTAACAAACTGAATTTTTGGTACATGTATATGGCTTGTTTGCAGGTTACGATCAGTTGTTGATTTAAAAAGGTATTTTTCTTCATTTATTCAAATGTTCATTTTCCTTGTGTAAGTATTTATTTGTTGTTGTCATGAATATTTATTGTATTAGGAGATGTAGTTGTGTGAATAATCAACGATTGTTGAACTATCATTTCTGGGCAACTCCAGAAGCATATATATATATAAACAACACACCAAGGGTGTGATCTAGTGGTACTGGATTGAGAACTATGATCGATGTCTCATGTTCAAATTCCAGCATAGACAAAAAAACATTAGGTGATTTAACTTCTTTCCATTTGTCCTAGTCTTTTGGTGATAGATATCCTGTGTAATTAGTTGAGGTGCACGTAGGCTAGTAGGGAGACCAATAATATATCTGCAACTGCTACATGAGTATTTTGATCATTGTGAGGTTTTCAATCTAAAATGTGTCTTTAATAAAATGGCATAAAATAAGAAACAGTTGAGACCTTGTAATATAAGGATTAATTAAGGTCATCTACTCTGCCTTAGTAGTTGGTTCTCCACTTTCACTGGTTTGGTTTGTTGATTGGTATCATATTTTTCTACTTGTCCATGCTTTTCTTTTTGTAATCTTTATTACTTCCATTCTTGACTTCTTGGTGGTAGGAAATGTATGAATTTATTTATGTGCAAATTATTTTTTTCCCATGAAGATGTATGTCACTTTCTGGTGATGTAGATATAGCATAAGCCCTCATGGTATGTCACTTATGATCTATGCAATAACATGGAATTTGTTTGTTAGCTAGTTTTCACCATTTCAAACAAAATCAAGACGAAGAAAAGAGGTCTTCTTTATTTTTCTTGATATTCTTGGCTGATTTTGACTCATTAGTCTTCTCCTTTCAATCAACTCCTTGCTTCTTGTTGGCTGCTAATCTCTTAACTGAACTTCATATGACTATATTAACCACACTTTTTCTTATTTACTTTATATATTTGCAATTTTCTCGAAGCTAATACTCAAATCGAACATTCATCTATCATCATGTAGACATATATATGCTGAAGTCAGATTTTAGCTTCTTTTCTTTTTAGTTTTTGGTCTATAAGATGGATTCTCGGACGAGTGTAAGACTCTGATCTTCCTGTAGACATATGCTGATGTTCCGTGACCCTGATTTTCTTTTCCCAGTAAACGTTGCTTGTCATTATCATGTCCATCTCAGGAAAAGAAGATGTCAAATGAAGCAATAAAATTTGAACCTTTATGCCTAAAGTTATCTTGAAATATCACAAAAGAGTTGGTGACTTTCGCGTTATAATGAGCTCTTTTCTGTAATTTTGGTGCCTTATGATGAGCTCAGTCTTCCCTCAACTTATTCAATATGATTCAAGCTTTTCTTTATGTATGGTACTGTAGTTCTTTCATGTAATTAAATGCTGTTATGTTGGAACATGACAGTTCTTTTATTCACTGCAGAGAAAGAAAGATGCAATGTAAAATCTGAATTATATGGAGTGCAAACTACCCGAGTTAGTTGTTTTTCTTCAAGACAGCAACCATCAAGTTTTCAAGGACATATGTATGGAAGGAGAACAATGTTCTTTGGAAAATTGTGAGTTGAACCACCATAATATTTATTACATGCTCAAGTATGAACTGGACAATAGTGCAGAATTAGAGAACAGAGTTTCTGAATCGTACGAGGGCATTGTTAAGCAGTTTGACGACTCTAAAAATCTGTTGATGGAAGGTAAATCGGATACTGAGATTGCTGATGCCATTTCCTATAGCCACGATGTTCCAAAACAGCCGAGTTTGGACAGAGAATCGGTTGATCAAAAAGAGAATCAGGTATTCTCTCTATACTTCACAGTTCCTGAATCCTGACTTGTTCTGTTTCAGTTTTTTGTTTCTTTTTGGGTTTTATAGTGTCTCTACCCCCATATGTTGTTACCTCTTTTTATAGGATCAAGAGCTGAAACTAGTTTCGATGACGTCTAAGTTTGTCTCCAAAGAAGTATCTTGTAACAAAAGTAGTATATCAGATTCAATCTCTAGAGAAGCATCAGCACAAAATACAAAGGCTGAAAACAACACCAGCACTGAAAATGGAACGCCAAGAAGTTTAGCGTCATTGTTTGCAGATCAGAACACTGAAAAGTTTCCAGATCGTGAAGACATGAATCTTGTTGTCATAGCAACGAAGCAATGTCATGATAACATCTCTATACGCTCGAGTAGCACCAACAGCACAAAATCTTTTGCCTTTCCTATGTAAGTAGTTTCTGCATGCTAAACTATTTCTAACACTTGACCCCAATATCTCATATGTTTACATACCGAAGTTTAACTCTTTATCAAACAGACTAACCTCAGAGTGGCCCGGCAGCCCTGTCAAGATGGTGGATAAGAGAGAGTTTAAAAGGAGAAGTTGTCACTGGAAAACGTGCTTTGGTTGCTGCAAATTTTGATTTATTTAGTTTTCGGAGTTGTCCATCATCTTCACTCTTCTTGGTATATAGACCATACATTATACATGTTGAATTATTATTGTGGACATTTAGCAATCAATTGTTATTTCATACAGAAAAGATGTTTAAAGCTCAAAGTAGCAGATCTCAAACTTTTTGAATGCTTAATCATAGTTATTGTGCAGATTAACCTCCATTGTTAATAAATCACTACACTGAAGATTCTGAATAAAATTAACTCAAAGTTTGTCCGGATTGTTCTTCTCTTATTAGAATATAAACTCATAATAGGCGCTTTTAACCCATCACATTTGCAGGATTTTTCGTAAGGTGTGTCTCACCATTTAAATAAGTGAGCTTAAGAAAAATGAGGCTGAGAACTTTGAGCATGAATTTGTGTTATTTACTGTTTTCACTTGCTTCAAAGCTTTGCTTATCCCAATTTGGTTTCATTTGTTTCTCAAAATCTTTAATTAACAAAGAGAGTTTGGGAAAGAAGAAAGAAAACTTTGATTTTTTTGGAATGTGAGACCCAATCAATCCACTTGATCATGAAATTAAATAGAGAAATTTTCATAAATAATAGGAGTAGTAGAATTTTGAAACCTATTTTTCATGCATTATGCATAGCGATATATTTTATATCTATCCAACGTAACAAGACTTTCCCCTATTACTCATGTGTGATATAGTTAGGAGTGACAAATAGGTGGATTTGATCGGATTTTGATGGATTGAATATTGATTGAGTTAAAATGGATTGGATCACAATTCATCCATATAAAATATGGATTTGGTCAAATATGGTATGAATAAAATGATTGTAACCTACTTTAATCTTCTAAAGCCAAAAAATATCAAGTCAAAGCTAAATTGTTAATACCTTCAACCCTGTAACCCCACCAGCACCTGCCCCACCCCATTTATTTATTTTTGCCAACCCTACCCCCACTCATCCTATACCCCAACCCCCAATTATTATTTTTTATTTTCATAAACAAATAGTGCAATTAGGGATTTTTATGATAAGTGAGTGATATATGGGTATTACATATATGGATTCTCATGTTTACTCATTTTGTCCATATTTGTATGAGCTTAAATAAGTTGAAGTTCATATTTAACTTTTTAAGAAAATATGAGTGATCCATTTAATTTAATATGAAAAAATGGATCAATTTCACTTATATGGACTGAAATTGTCACCCTTAGATATAATGTATATATATCCTCAGTGGGATTTTATTTATGATATAGACATCATGAAAAAATAGATAATTACGATAGAGTCATTTAAAAAATTGAAAACACGTCAAATATGGGAGAAAATTAGGTTAATTAGGCTCGTCCGTACATTATCATAGTCCACTACTTATCATAATTTTTAGACTTCTCTTCCACCATAAGAATATGCGAAATTGAAATTTTACTTCGTAAATAAACATTTATATTTCAAAGTCAACTATCTTTCGTATCTGCAGCTCGTTACACGCTTCCACCGTCAATAGCGTAGACTTCACTCCAGTCTATCATTCCGTATTATTTGGGTACCCTGAATCTAATAAATATAGCAAAATTAGAATAAGTAAATTCTATTTCATTCATTCACTATTTTTTCTCATACTTCCAAATAATCCTCTTCAAGATTCTAAGTGATTTTTAATGGATTTGTGGCTGAAGGCACGGAGCTTCGCGGAGGAAGCTGCGAAGCGATCACAGGAGTTCACTGTAGAAGTTGCTAAGCGTACACAGGAGCTCAGAATTGGCTCCGCTAAGTTATCCGACGTCGTTTCAGAGGCTTCCAAGCGTTCAAAGGAGATTGCCGCCGAAGCTTCTAAGCGCTCTAAGGAGATCGTTGCCGAAGCTTCTAAACGCGCCGATCAGATCAAGTTTCAAATTCCCTCTGCCGCTGCACTCTCTAGCCTTGTGGATTCCTCAACTTCCCCTCAAACTGCTTCGGCTATTCCTACGCTGGCTGATCTCGAAAAGTTTGGAGTCACTGACGACTTGAGAGAGTTCGTTAAGGGCATCACTAGGGATACATTCCAGAATTTTCAACTTCAAGGTACTTGTTCTGCTCGCTTTCTCTCTCTCTCTCTCTCTGTGTCGCGTGCTCATTCTAATGCATGCATTGCTACCAGCATCTCTGAAAATGAGTAGAAAAATGTAGTACATTGTCGTATTAGCAGATTGTTATCGTTTAATTTGTAAGTTTATTCATTTTGTTGTGCTTAATCTGCAAATTCCTGTAGTACGTTTTCGTGTTTGCAGATTGTTATTGTTTAATTTGGAAATTTATTCATGTACTGTGCTTAAACTCCAAATTGGAAGAAATCAGATCTAGCCGTCTCCGATCTCTCAATCACCAACTATTTTCATATGATCACGGTGGAAGGGGTGGGGGGAGTACTTTAATTCTGGACACAGTTTTTGAAGCTCAGGAAGCTTTTCATGAGCGGCTATTCTGTAAGCAATCAGAACAAAATGAAGATGTAATTAGTTACTGAATTTTCTTGTTAAAAACTTATCACATACATACTGATTTACCAAGGTTAAGTCATAAGTTAAGGTGAGAATTCATAAGAGTTTACTATGCTTTAGTAATAAAAACATATGTGAAGACATGCGTCATGCTTCATTGGTTGGAACAAACACGATGTGGATAATTTTTAACCAATTTTCATTTCCCTGTTCAATTATGTGCACCTTCTTTCGATTACTTGAGTCATCCATCGTGAGAAGATACTGGCTTAATTGTAACGTTTATTGGTATGCAGATGAGTCAGAGATGTCTGATATTCCTACAGTCTCAAACATTCGGCAGGATCTTACAGAATTTCAGGAAAAACATGCAAAACTTGTTCTTTCATCTGTCAAGGTATGACTCTCATTGTCATTACTTGGTCAAAGTTGGTATAGAAAAGATCTCTAGTTTCTTATATTACTTACGTGGTGCTTAATCGAGCTTAAATAATAAGGCATCTTGACTGCCACTTCTCTTATGGTCTATTGAGTTTCAAACACTTAACTAGTGTTGGTCATATTTTTGTTGTTCCTAGTGCTAAATCTGACTTGTTACGTCAATGTAGATCATAGTTGTGTTGAGGGCTGCACCCTTTTCAAAGATAAAAGTTACTTCTCAAAAATTGTGATGAAGGCTACTATGTTTCACTGGACCTGCTCGGTGGAAGTGTTTACATACTGGTTCAAATAAGTTCTAGCTCTCTTTCTGTTTTTCCCGTTATAACCTTTTTGATTTGAGGGATAATTGACAGGGGTCAAGCTGTTGAGAATTATGCTGTTCTGATAAAGATGAATTTGGCAGTTAGTAGAACTAAGTCAACTAACAGCATTTACATGTTTGTTTCCTTTTTTTCTTTATGTGCAGGAAATCTCAAAGTTGAGGTATGAGATATGCCCACGCATAATGAGAGAGAGAAAGTTTTGGAGAATCTACTTCATTCTAGTTAACAGTCATTTGGCACCGTAAGTACCTTTCTGGAAAAATAATCTCTTCTTCCTTACATCAAGCTGAATGTGTTGCTTATTTTGTATTGTTGGAATATATTGCAATAACATGCGCCGATAATTAAATATCTATTTTGTGCGTTGTTCTGTAATTTTGGGTAAAGACTTTTTGTATAAGAAAGCTGCTGTAATATCATTTGGTCAGGATTATAAGATGAGTTTTTGACAAGTATTTAAGAGAATATAGCTATTGTTAAACCTTCAATCATCGAAATGGAGATATGAACTGGGCTGGTCATTTAAAGATTACAGCTTTCTGGTCATTCTCATTCCTATGAAACTATCAAATTGTGTGTGCTGAGCTAATACTATTTCCTCTCAGTTTCATAAAATTTGGTCAAATATGTGCATGTGCAGATTTTTCCTGTTAGTTCAGTGATGAAGTAGGAAAATTTATAAGAAGATAGCAGTATTATTGTGGACGCACAGTGAATAAAACTCTGTGAATGATAATTTTAATGGAAGCTTCGTATTTCCTTGACAAATCTGAAGAAGCATTTTCATTAAAGAACCCAACTTCTTTACACCATCGGAAGTCATATACTCCCTATGTTAAAATTTGTTTGGCCTATTTTGACTTGGCACGGAGTTTAAGAAAACAAAGAAGACTTTTGAATTTTGTAGTCTTAAATTAAAGATATGCCAAATGTACCAAAAACCCATTAATCTTGTCATCTTAAACATGCCATGTGGAAAGTTGAAATTAAAGAGTTTGCTACATTTTTTTTGGAACGGACTAAAAGTAGGCCAGCCTAGGCACAAATAGTTGAACATGCATTTCTTTGATTTCGCTCCGGTAGTTAGCTTCATTATTTAATCAACTACATTTGGTGTAGGTATGAAAAGAAATACATGGACGAAGAGAAAATAATATCTGCTGAAAAGGCAAATGTCGAGGAGGCAAAGGATATTTCATCAGCAGGAACAACTTCTAAACCAATGATCGCGGCAACAACCCAGACAAACAAGAAGGCAGCCTCATCAACTGCTGACCAGGATTTGGATGTTTTTCTTCTCGGAGAGGAAAGCGATGAAGAGCCAGGTACTTTATTTACCATCTCATGTTTTTGCCACCTGGTGTAAGGAGTGATAGTATTTAATTTATTTGTGGAAATCAGGAAAGATCCTGTTCAATGTTCATCATCCTTCTTTGCTCTCTGTCCTCTCCCACCAAAGAAAGCAAAAAGAAATGAATAAGACACAATTAATCTGAACCTGCCATCTTTCATTTCTTTGTACTCTTCCTTGACTGTACTGTGTATCGTTGACTTGCTAAAAAATGTATTTACAGTTTGGGTCATTCATAATATTGTCAGTCTATTTCAGTTATTTTAATCGGCAGGCTGTCCATTTACCCAATTCTGTCAAGATCACCATAATCAGTAGCCAAATGGTACAAAGCTAGAGGACAACTATGTTACGTGCTTAAATCCAGATTATCATCTTTCCTTGCTGTCATCTAGTTTATGGTATTTGCGTAGCATTTGAGGATAAATTGTACTATAGGCAAAGATGTATGTACACATAAGAGATGTGAAACACAAATAAGATGACCAAATCAAAACATCATTTACCAATCAAAATATAAGAGATGGTGCTTTCTTGCATCCACAAATTGTCAGTGTATATTCTCTTTCAGTCATTTGGCTTTTGTTCTCCAAGCAGCATTGATCTAACGGCTAGAAAGTAGCCAACAGGTCTGCATATTACAAGTGATCACCTGAGAAGTCTTTATTTATTTCTCAGAAGCTAAAGATTTATGATCTGATTACCACCAACAAGAAGTCTTGATTTTTGGTCTTGAAGAATAATGAAGTAATCAAAGCGTAATTTGTCCTCATATTGCAAGTCTATCCTTCTTCCAAGTTATCAGTTGTTTAAACTGGTTAACTCATCAGATTTTCTGTATTTCTTGTTTCTTTTTGGTTTTATTTTCTGCCTTTTCTTTTCCTTCCCAAAGCATTTATCTTGGTTTTTCTTCAAGATAGAAAATACAGGATCATTTCTAGATTTAGCCTTTGTGCTGCTGTTATTGGATTTCATTTGTATTATTCTCAAATTCAAGGAGAATAATCAGGCTGCTATGCACTGACTATCTGTTTTGTTGTTCAGATGATGGGGAGAATGCTTTTGACGATGATTTTGACAAGATATAGATAGGTGAGCACGGTTTTGTTCTTCGATATGAATTTGTATTTTACCAGTTGAATTTTTGTATTCCTCCACTCTCATGAGATGCTGAGATCATAACTAAGTTAGAAATTTGCATTCTGGTATAGTTATGTCAACCATGTAATGATGTATATATATTTTTTCGTGAGAGGACACTTACTATATGTAACATATTTGAACATCCCACATACAATGTACAAGGTGGATGTTTTGTTCATCTTGTTTCACAAGCTTTTCGTTCTTGGGAGGGGGACAGTTGGGTGACATGCTCTCCAGTACTCTAGTATTGGAACTTGAATGTGTATATCATATCAAATGGAATTATATGTTAAATGCCCATGTTATTAGGTTACAGTAATATAGAGATCTCACTTGGAGAACTTTCAAGAGTATTTTGACCAAGTATGATCTGAAAAGTTCAGCTCGAGTCAAGGTGTTATGGTACTTGGAGTTCTTTCTAGAAGCTCGTTCGGAGTGGTAGATTCTGATGACTTTTTGTGAAAGCCTGCAGGACAAGGTGAAACATCGGCTACTTGCTGCTTTGAGAAGTTGAAGTTGAAATACTTCAGGAAATTCACGCATGCATGCATGATATAATCCAGCTCATATGAAGTAGGCATATACTCGCATACTTGCTACCTTCCTCTGCGTGCATCTTGTCCATTCCTTCAACCTTTTTCTTTCTTTTTCAACTTTTATTTCCTTTGTTGGAGCTGCAGAAGATAAGGTAGGTGACCGAGGAGGTCCGTTGGTACGTAATGCTGTTCGTTTTGGAGGTGTAAAGTTAGAATTCTTTTAGTGACCTTATTATTCACTTTTTATTGAGTTGTTGGTTACTTTTTAGCTCTACATCAGCTGCTCTACATATAGTTTAAAAGTTCCGGCTGCATGTTGAGTTTCGAATTCTCAAGTTGCTGGTACGTACTCTGAATGTAGTTTTTTGGTCCAGCAGCTGCTTCTTCGACAATCTTTTTGCCTGAAAAGGGCCAAATTATTAAAAGTTAGTTTTGGATGTCAAATGTAAACGAAATAGAGAGGATGAGTAAAAATTGGAAGAGTGAAATTTAGTGCTAAGATAATGATATCATATTATTACTATCACCTTTCTGATAAAGACAACAAAAAACAGATTAACGGACATATATAATCAATCACATGTAGACATATGAAGGAGTACATATTATTTGAGTGGTGTATGTGGGTAACGGTAGGTGAAGCTGCTGCATTTAATTTAATTGACATCCAGTGGACCATTGGTACTTGTTGAAATTGCCAAAAATTACATGAGAAGTACTTAGGTTTGTCATGCAGTGTTTGTTCCTTTCTCAAACATCAATTTACTTTCAGTACTATATACAGTGTATGATTGCCCTTCTTAGGAATAGAAGTTCAAAATTAGTATGATAGCTGATTGTTTGTCTGGGAATATCTTATACCATGTCAACAGAACGTCTAAATTTTTTTTGATCTTATACAATTAATCATGTTACACTTTTTCCAGAAATGTTTATGCAAAAGAAAATTATATAAATGTAATTTCATTGCATAGTTCTTTTGAACACACAACTATTAATTCTTACCAAATAACTTCTATCTACCAAAAGTACTTAAGTACTTGTTTTGAACATTTTATGTGTAAAGGATTCTCAATGAAAAAGATTTATTACATATGTTATTCTTCATTTTAAAAATAGATAAATAAATAATATATATATTAAGAAAAGCCAAACAAAACAAGATCTTTTAAAGAATAATTGCAAATTTTTCAGTAGCATCTTAAACAGAATAATCACACATGTTCATGCATGGATCGGATATGTAGGACGGCGGACCTAATTTTCTTCGAACCTTGTTTTTTATTTGAACAGCAAACGTAATGGTTTATGTTAGTGTAGAATTTTGAAGCAAAGAAGTTTCATTTTTTTTCATTACATATTATTTATAGGATATTATTTGATATATGTTTCATTATTTATATGAAGCAAAATTGATTGGAGGAGACTAGTCAGAGCTCTTTTTGTCTCAACTCTCAACTATGAGACATATATTGCTGTTTGTTTGGTATTATTAGCTGAGTTGTCTTATTATGGCATTCATTATATGATGTGCTAGGAAGCAACTTTTCTTCCTTCCTTGTATTAATGATTTATGAGTAAATAATTAATTATTTGATATATTATTGATTCTGTTTTGTCTTTAAATAATAATACTCTTATTATATACCAGGCAGGCTTCTTTACAACATATACTGGTTCAACATATATGAGATTCCAAAATTCTATACACGTGTCATAATTACAATGATTAAACAGATTAATGGGTGCTAATTATTTTGGTTCCAGTTAATTGCTGTTCGTATTTGGTAAATTTTGTCCATAACCTAAATATACTCTTTATCTTCCAATTAAGGAATAATTGTTGCATTACCTTTTTAGAATTATTACACGTTCTACCTTGTGTCATCCAGCATTGGTTCCTTTCTCAATCATCAATTTCCCTTTCAAATATATATCCAAAAAAGGATTAGTAAAAGATATTATTTGACTGCAACACCTTGATTATAAATAAATTTGGACCTACCTAGGTTAAGTCTTAAGTGTAACATCTTTTAACACGTCAACCACTTTTGTGTTATACTTCTTACCTTATTTATCAAAATATAAAAATATCAAATCTTTCTTGCAAGAAGGATATAATGAAAAAGAAATCTTTATATGGAGTATTATCAAAAAAATTTCTATTCAAATCGTAAATGGCTTTATTCATTTCCTTTCTGGCCAATTATATGACAACTTTTCATTAAGGTGTTGTCTGATCTGGACAATTTTGAAGAAAAAACACATTTGAATTTTTCTTTCGAAGTAAAGAGTAATAAGTGCAAAGAAAAAATGTTCTTATAATCGTGTCTAATTTTGACTTGACATGAAAGTTAAAAAATATTATGATCGATATGTAGAATGTGTCAAACAGCCCTTTAATTTAATCTTGTAGTTTAAAAAGAAAAGGGAAAATATTTTTTTTAATGGACAAACATGAAAAATATGACCAAAAAAATTAGAACCATGAAAATATTATGTTAGAATAGTATTTTGAAACAAAGAACATTTGTCATTTCATATGCAAGTTGTTCAAAGATCCTAACGTTCAAGATTTTAGTTTGTCTCAACCATGTAATATCTTTTATTATTTTTTGGTATTATTAGCAGATTGAGTTGTCAAATTCGGAATTGTCACTATTTTGTGGCATTATTATATATTATATTATGTGTTTTCTCCCAAGCCACTACTTAATATATTTTCTTTCTTTATATTCTAATAATTTTATTTTTTTATGATTGATATAATTTCTTCCTTCTATTGTCCAACCATATAATATATATCTTGTCGATTATTTGTATATGATTACAGACGTGCATCGATAATGATTAAATGGATATTTGTTTCTGATTTTGGCTTCATTAAGTTGATCTGTACATTCTTTTCATAACCTACGCATTCCGTTTAAGTATTTATTTTTCTTAAGAAACTGCATGTATGTTGACCAACTTATAAAAATAAAAAAAAACCCGATTCATATGAACCCAACATTATTTATACGAAAAAATAAAAATATATATGAAAATTAAATTACTTAAATGTTTATCCTTTGGTCTCAATTTATGTAAAAGTGTTTGTCTCAATTTATATTTCTATTTAAATATGTGATTTACAATAGAAATAAGGTAATTAATTCATCTGTTTCAATTTGTTTGTCTTAATTTCTTTTTCAATCCGTTTAAGAAATATATTTTTTCCAGTTTAAATATCTGATTTTTTTTTACTAAATTTACGTGAGTCTAGACATCTCTTATGGGTAGATATAATGATATATGACTATTATGACTAAGGTAGATGAAAATAACTTAAAGTGACAATTTAAAGTTGTCAGAAATGATTTACGTGAGTCTAGACATCTCTTATGGGTAGATATAATGATATATGACTATGATGACTAAGGTAAATGAAAATAACTTAAAGTGACAATTTAAAGTTGTCAGAAATGATAGGTGTAACTTGTAACAATAAATAGAGCTAGTGTATACTATGCTAGAAATTGGTACATTTATTTATTTTTTTATGTAAGAAAGGGTTACTCATTACAGTTAGAATTAAGTTACTGAATCTTCACGTGGTGGAATTTACTTTCATTTTATATTCCCCTTTCTAGAATGGAAAATGAGTTTATGACAAAAAAGGAAATCAATAAATTAAATGACAGTTTGGTGCACCTTCTTTTGACTATGTTCAGAGTTTGTAAAATATTCTAATCATAAAGATGTATTGTACGCGGTTTTATTCTGTATTATTTTACGAAGTGAACTTGAAGTTAAAAAAATATCTAGTTACTGAATCATTAATCTTGATATTATAACTTTTTATCTTGACAAACCATAAAATGACTTTTTATCTTACATTTTCTTTGTAGTTATGGCTGACCTAATGAGTTTGGTGAAAAGAATAAGAAGATGCTAGCTAGACAAGTATAGTTTACTCCAATTTCTAAGGCCTCGAGGCGAATTTAGAAATTTTAAATTTATGTATTCTGGATTAGAATTTATTTTTGCTTAGTGAATGGCTGGGGTAAGAATATAGTATTAATTTTAGATACTCTATTAAATAAATTTCCAAATATAAATAAATACATGATTTAAATTAAAATTACTACGCTCAACCCTGACCACACCATTGTCTAATAACATTTATATAAAGTTGGCTTTAATTAAGCTTGGTTCACAGTTGATAAATGATGTGAAATATAGACAAATCATTGTCTAATTAAATTGATATATTAATGTATCTGTACGACAAGTTGTATTAAGTATTATTTATTGGTATAACGACAACAGATCATATATTGAATAATTGCCCATATATACAGTAAAACCTTTCAAAATATTTTATATATGGAAGAAAACTGTACACCACCCTCAAAGACTTTAATTATTTAA